CAGGCAATCACTGTTAGTTTTTTCTTATACATATAGAGGAATATTTTTGCCATTTAATCATATACCTGTGATCTTTTTTTTTTTTCACACTCAACAGCTGTAAACTCTGGAAAAAGTCCTGGTTGATAAACACACCCCACATTGGACATTTTTTATTTTATTTTAAAGCCCCTGTTGTCAGGGGCCTTAAATATAACCCTAAGGTTTAACAGGGGTTCTCTTTCAAATTGTTGCACTTTGTGTCACCGGGTGTTAATCGCTTGTTGTGCAGTCCTGGTGGGGTTGAATGTCCCTCACACCTAGTTGTTCGTCTATTCTGTCTTTGGGACTGCAGGTACATCTGGCTGGTGTCACCATTACAAGTGCCATAATTATAACTTCTTAGGAGGTTGAACGGGGTAACTAGTATCTGTCTTGATGGTCTGCCATTCAGACTGAGTATTTTCGAATCCTAGGATGGTATAATAAACCTCTAGGTAGGGTCTGGAAAGGATGAATTGACCGATTGATCCACCTTCCCATGTACAGATTTTGAGAGCATGGCAGGGAACCCAGAACCCACATGGTCATATGAAAATGTTTTTCACTTGCCTCTTGTCATCCACAGCAACCGACAAATCCTCAGACACTGACTGGTGTGGTGATTTATCCTGTATAGATGTATATACAATATAGATATATTCTCTTGTAACATTTCCAATCTGACAATCTGCATTTTTTAGTGTCTTAGCATGGAATGTATTTTGAAGAAATCTGCGACATTCATCGTGGTGGGGAAAAGGGAGGGCCAGGGGCTGTTGGGGGGGGTTCTGGGGGGGGTTGGGGGGGGTGCTTGTATGCACAGAAGTCTTCTCAGTGAGTTTTGGTTTGAGGTTTGAAATATGGATCAACATCATGGCACACGGGTAGTAACCCATAAGAGCTCTGTTCCTCTTTTAACTCAAGTCTGAGTCTGAAGAAGCTCAGCACAGTGCACAGGCTCTGTAGCACCGGCAAGGATCCTGAAATACTTTGGGTAGATTTTAAACTCCAAATTTTGGCGGGGCAGTGGCGTTAGGCTACTTTTTTCAATTTCCAACTGACAAGGCGTTTTTTTACGCGTGCAACCATGCCACCCCCAGCGTCTGATCTCACTACCCAGAGACCAAGGAAATTATTATAAGTCCAAGTCCACATGAAAAGTGAGTTTTGGAAAATGGCCTAACATATGGTGTCAGGACATTGTGTATGCACCACTGCACAGTGATGTTTCCCCACATCCTCCCCAAATGGTCCAGACTGTGTCCTAAAATTCTGCTATTCCTTCCTATACGATGATGCTGCCCCAACCGATGTTCAAAACCTCAAGGATGCAGTTATCAGCATATTGTTTGTGTGGACATCTGTTCATCCAGATTCTGCCATCAACCCTTTTTTAATTAATCTTAACTCGTCTGCCATGCCTTTGATGCCCCCCAATGTGAACACTGCTCACTAAAGTGTTTTCTGGATGTGAAATTGTGTTTACCTTCATTTCTTACCCCCCAAAAAAATATGGAGTAATCAATAAAACACAGCCAGGGTGAAGCATTAAGTGGAATACATTCCCCAGGACCTAAAAAAAATGTATTGGGTAGTGACTCATGCCATGACCTCTATCATGGAGGCTTAAAGGAAAATTGGGAAGTGTGAAAACAGGACAACTATGCATCACATTAACTATACTAGTTGGAAAAGTGACATTTACAGGGAGTAGGACCCAATAGAAAGTGTCGGTTTTGTTGTTTCTTGGGGGCCAAAGGCAAACACAGAAGAAGAAGAAGAAGAAGAAGAAGAAGAAGAAGAAGAAGATGAAGAACAAGAAGAACAAGAAGAGCCCAGCAAACATGAAATAAAACCATGAGTTGTCCTGACTACTATGAACAAGGGACATATTTTAAAAAAAAAATACTTACCCCGGTCTGTCCTTCATCCCAAAAATCCACAGTCTTCTTGGTCATCTGTTTGGTGATACCAACATTTCAATTAAACACATTGTTCATCTAGATGTACTATGTCAATAAGTGAAGACAGTCAAAGTTTACTGTCTAACAAAAAGCAGTTATTCATACTGGAAGAGACTAGGGCTTCACTACACTCCTTATAACAAATGTGAGTACACTGTATTCAACCTTCATTGTGGAGGCGGCACATTATAAAAAAAAAAAAATAAAATTCACAACAGCCAACAGACACAATGCTCATCTTCATGTACTATGTCAATAAGTGAAGGCAGTGGGTTGGATTAGTTTGATTTTCTAATTACTACTTCTTTTCTCTCCTCATGGAATGCCTCACAGCATCACAGCTTTTCAGTGTCTCTGATATTTCCGCGGTCCATGTTCTGCATGGTCGACCTCTGGCTCTGTTACTGCTGTATCTGTGTAACACTGCTCAATGTGGTGTCATGTGTGCTGATGATCTTATTACCTGGCCAAACCATCTGATCTTTTGCCTAGCAATAAAGTTTAGTATTGGTACTGTGCCAACTCTCCTCCTGATAAACTCGTCCCTACGTCGATCTTTCCTTGTTAATAACACAATATGTAAACACGTCACTTCTGTTGTGGCTGTTTTTCTTCTCTTGTCAACGTTTGCTTTCTACAAAAGACGTGGCAGTTGACTGCAGCCATGCGAGGTATGTTGTGATGTGAAGACTCAGGCTGTCAGTGGCTCCTTGACTCTGTCTTCTCCTGAGTTTCCCTCTGCCTCCTGGTGTCTTCATGTTGTATGCTCTCACTGCTGGCATCATGGGATTTATTCTAATTATGTGGCCAAACCATTTCAGTCTTTGTTTCTTAATGAATTTCATAATGGGTATTGTTTCATAATGGGTATTGTTTCATAATGGGTATTGTTTCATAATGGGTATTGTTTCATAATGGGTATTGTTTCATAATGGGTATTGTTTCATAATGGGTATTGTTTCATAATGGGTATTGTTTCATAATGGGTATTGTTTCAATACTTCTTCTAAATGTTTAATTTTTTGTAGGATCTCTTCTGTTCACAACCCTTCTATGGCATTTCTAACAGCTATTTAACAGAAAGCAATTTTACACAATGCTTGTACCATGTTATAAACATGAGCAGCCATGGTTCGACCAGTGCTTCGAGAAGTTATTTATCTCTGAAGTTCTGAAGAGAATGACAAGACTCCTTTGCCACACAGGCCTGAAGGTTACACCAGGCTGGTGTGTCAAATTCAACAGGTGCCCCAATTTGGTGGCTGAACTTGGTATTAGGGGGTAGCCCTTCTGGCTTGCCATCCTCAATGAGAGATTTGTAATCACAGGGAGGTTAAACCATCAGGAAAAAGCCCGGAGCAGAAAAAACACAAGAAGGAGGGAAAGAAACCAGTTGTAAAAACTTTTCAGCTGCTCACCACTTGTACCTCACAAGAAAGTGGGCACATCATGATGAGACAATAACTTAAGTATGCTATTCCAGCTAGAGGAGAGGAGAGATCGGGGGGTGACTAAGAAGGACGGTGTTGTTTTGAGGACCATCTTGAATTCACACAGAGTGATTCAGTGAATATCTTCTTCTTTTTCTCTTCCACCATATACCTCATTAAGGTGTTAGGGGGGTGTGGGTGATGTAAGAATCGTTTGTGCGCTTTTTCCAATGCATTGTAAAAGTTGGTGTTCATTTCTGTTAGGTCGCTCCTGATGGTGTCGCTCCATCTCTCGCATGGTCTTCCCCTTGCTCTGTGTTCATTATATTTCTTCAGCGTGGCTCTCTGTGGCAGTTGGCAGTTTCAATAAATATGCTCAAGAAAATCCAGGATGGATTCTCTCACTGAATGCAACAAGAATAACTTGCTTTTGTTCTGGGCTATGTAGGTTTTCGAGGCAATGAGCATGCAGATTATTTAAAGAATACATCGTTTGTTATGACTGGCCCAGCACTGGACAGAAGTGATTAATTAATGCAATGCCAGATGCAGATCACAAGAACATGCAGGATAGTCCACATTGGTGGAAACTGGAGTGCAACCTGCAGCAGCCAAACTTAGGTTAATCAAAACAAATCAAGCATAAATAGTGTTCAATGTTGAATCGACATCATAGCACTTGGGACACTCCCAGAAGTTCTCCGTCCCCCAATCTTCAGCAGCAAGCAAAGAGTTCTAATTCCAGTGGTACCAGTAACTGTCTGATTTTACATCCATCTCGCCTTTTCCTCGAGTGCTGAGCGTCGGCCAGATCCCCTGGTAACTCCCTGTAGCACATTTTGCTCAGACTGTAATGATCTATTTCAACTCCACACTGTTTACTCGCCCCCAAAGGGTCCTCACAACATCTAGCTTGTCATATCTGGCTGCTCATTTCCCAACACACCATCAAGACCTGGAGAAAATACCCAAAGGACGATAACTATATGGGACCTCTGTGGTGATGCTTGCCACTCTGAGGGAGAAATGCTTTTCGACACCTTTCTCAACATACTCTGTGATTAAAGTTACATGTCTGTACAGCTGATTCTCAATCAGTGGAAGGCAGCAGTGACTGCCTCAACCTCCATTCTCAAACTAGACGTTGTGATGTCACAAGCCAGGCTTTGTTGCACTAAGTGACGTCCATTCGCTTTTGCTATGAACCCCCATCCAATTCATCTACCTCTCAACTCAGAGCCATCTGTATAGATAGTGTTGAAGCACCTGTGGATCAGTGCAGTGATAATAGTCCTTACTAATTACTGGGGAGATTCTGTAACAGAAATGACTGGTATATGAGAAAGAACTGGTGGTGCCTTATGTGTGTGCAACTACTGATCTGTTGTAACTGTTGCTTCCATAGATGATGAATTGCATTTCCAGTGTTGGACTGTTTGTGTTTGTACTTCTGAAGGCTGCCTTAATGCATGTGTATTGAAATTTTACTGTCATCTGTGTTATTTTTTTTTTTCAAAAGGGACGGTGATGTACCAGAAGATTTACAGCCAACAAATAAAAAATATGTGACATCGACAAAACCTACCTCTTCTTCTTTTTGTTTCAGCTCCAGAACCCTGGCCATGTACTCTTTCATTACAGGGTCAATCTGATCATCGCCTTCATCTGTCTTCACAGCCACAGAATCCTTGTCAACCTGACAGAATAATAATAATAATGAAATGTCAAAGGAAAATAAAAAAACAGCTGAAAACTATCATCTTTTAGTAGCAAGTGCTTCACAAAACATCTCTCGCAATACAAATCCAAGGCTTTGGGGTTGAGATATTGAGAAATAGGGAAAGGAAAAGGCGGCGGAACCAACAGTCTGCTTGCAAATATTCTGGATATGTGAAACGGATGTGCCCGCAATATTCAGGTGCTGGAACAAGACTAAAGTCTAGAGGTGGACAAACAACCAGAATTTTATGCTGAAGTTACAGTCAACTACTGGTGAACCCGAAGAAGGGCATTTTATTATTATTTGTTAACTCTTTAAGGCCCAAACAACGGTGTGAGCGTAGTTTGAGAAGTTTCGTTCTGCCCAAACAACGGTGTCATCGTCAATCATGTTTCTCTCACATTTTGCTTCGCACGCGCGTTCGTACTAGTTTCTAATGTTTGGAGGTACAAATAACCTATTCAGGGAAAGTCACTCTGTCGAATTCCTTTTAGTTTCATTTCTTGGACTAAACCACATGTGGATAATTTGAGAGAGTAAAACATTTTTACCAGTGAAGCCTAGCGATCAGCTGTTCGGAATTTAGCGATTCTAACGAGTTTATTACACAATGTCCCATACTACCGTATTTATGGTGTAAGACAAGAAAAGTGCTCTAAACAAAGAGATAGTACTATACTATGGCTAAGCTACATTGAAATCATCGCAGCTACAGTCTGTAAATAACTGTACAAAGTGAATAGTAAATAGTGTGTGTTATGCCTCATTTTTCTGCAATTTTTTCTCTAAAATTTTGCTTAGCACTCGGTGGGAACTAAGAGCCCCTGAGTGTTAAACTAACCCAGAAAGTTATCATAACTTTAGAATATGTAAGGAAATTGAACAAACTTTGAATTATTGTTCTCAAATTTGGATATTTACTATTCTTGTGGCTGCAAAACCATGGTAAGTGAAGAATTTTTTTGTGAAATGTTGTCCTTGTGAAATTAACACCTGCTGAATTCTTCTTTTCCACTAACTATTACAAAATAAAACAAACACTTATCATCAGTTTCAGAATGTACACTCATTTCTCTTTTAAAAAATATATACTGTTTTAGGGATTAGAAGTATATTACAATCTCTACAGCCTTTCTTGTACACCCACCCCTTTGCCATTTTTGTAAAGGGAAATTAATGTGGGCCAAGTCTGTCAAAATTCATGGGCCTGAAAGAGTTAAACCAATCAACTTTGGACATTTTCTGCAAAGATTCTTGATAGGCAAGGGAGATAATGAAACCCAGAAAAAAACCAATGAAACACTATACCTGGTCATGCTGCTCCTCTTCCTCCTCCATCTGCTGAAGAAGTTGTCTCTCTTGCGATCTTTGCTTCTGCTGGCTCAGTTCCACTTCTGTCTCTCCTGGTTCGTTGGTATGTTTGTCTGTTGATGGAATATTTAACAAATAAGTTTACTGAACAGGTATTGAAATAGATTAAATAATGATCACTGATTTAAGAATCATCACTGCTTACCTTCCACTTCAGTAATGGAATTTTTCGTTACTTGAAACTAGGGCTGTACCGAATATTCGCTTCGTATTCGCTTCGGGGCTGAATAGTGGAGCTAATAACTATTCAGTATTCAGCCGAATAGTTGAGGTTGGGCCGAATACGAATAGTGATTACCTTATACACGGTTCTGCATACACTGCGATGGACTGAAATAACTCCTTCATTAACACAATAATAGTTGCTGTTGCCTAAGTCTGTTGTAGCCGGGAAAACTGCGTGGTACAGCACATTGCAAGGTCTTTGCCTGCTGACTCGACAGAGGCATTACAGCAGAGGTTCTTAAACTGGGTGCGTATGCCAGGGGGTCCAGCGGCGAAATCAAGAAAAGTCAGCTATAAATTGTGACATTATTAAAGAAGGAATGAAGATACTTTAAAGTTACAATTTAAATTGTCTTTCTTCGCCACTTAAAAAAAAACAAGTTTTTTTCAAAGTGTATCATAGTGCCAAAAATGCCAACCGCAGAGTGCTAAAAATTGCCTTTGTATTTATCTTGTGGTGGGCCGATCCTCCATCTGTATTTGTGAAGGTGCAGCGGATAAGTAAGGCTATGATTACATTTTGGCTGGAGTTTTAAAGTGGAAAATGTGGTCTGTACAATAGCAACTGTTAGCCTTGTCAAGTAAGCACTTATATTTAAAGGCAATGCATTGTGAGTCCTGGACAATAGGTAGGCAGGCCAAACCATTTCTTGAGGCCTCAGAGATGTGGTTTTACAGAACAATGCTTAAAATATCTTGGACAGCCAAAAAAAAAGCAACCAAGAGGTTTTGAAAGAGGCAGGAGCCAGAAGACAACTAATCACAGACAACAGGAGACAGTCAACATTTTTTATGAGAAGAGAGGAAATGGAACATGTGGTGACCACTGGAAAGATCTGTGGAAGGAAGGATAGAGGAAGACAAAGAGAGAATATTCTTGACAGTCTTGTTGCATGGCATGGAGGTGTGTCAGCACACGAACTAATACATGCTGCAGGAGATCGCAGATTGTGGCGAGGCATAATCGCCAAAGCTAGTAGGCAAAGCACCTGATGATGTTGAAACACTATTTGTATTCGGCCGAATAGTTGGTCCCGCTATTCGTAAATCACTATTCAGTACAGCCCTACTTGAAACCCTACCCTGGCTTTTGTCGGGGGCCCTGAATATAGCCAGGCCATGTATGTGGCCATAATGGCTGAAAGGGGTTTCTGGGACCTACCTCTCCATGGGTGATCTTCATCCACATAGTGGCACTTTGTGTCACCGGGTGTTTATTGCTTGTGTGATGTTGTGGTAGGGTACAACTATCTACCTACCTACCTACCACTGCTTTCCGCTCCTTATCCCACAGCAAATATCTTAGGGCTGACTGTTCAAGTAGCAGCACACCAGTTGTGCACACCTCAAACTTTTTCTCCCGTAGTCCTTTCTTGCCATTTCCAAACTCATGCAACATTACAATATGTTTCATCTAACATCATATTTGCGAGCAGCACAAATGCTTTGTCCACTGTAGCTATCAACAACAAAAACTGCTAGTTCATTCCCTTGAAGTCCTGCATGTTCCTGACTGTAAAGCCAAATGAATGGATGAAAGTTAAACATTTAGTTGCTTATCCTTAACAGGACATTTCAGAACCCACCCAAGCCCTGTTTGGTTTTATTGTCAATTTTTACATTCAGCTTCTGAACAGTTGGCTTTCGATACCCTTGTTGAAATCAACTGGTCTGCTGTCAAATCGTCCACAGCTGAAACAGAACCGAGTACCTCAGAGTTACGAAGCACGGTCACAATGCCTAAGCCACACACGCCGAGGAATGGATTACCTACATGAATTAATTGACTGATTTACAGACTGTAGATGCAAAATAGACAGATAGGCAAAGGCATAAAGGTAGAGCCATCTTGTCCCTGAGCAAACTTGAAAGATACAGATTAGCATGGGCCCCCTATGCTCAAGCAGCCCTGGGACCCACAGGTTAAGATGGCACTGCATCAAGCCAACACTGCATCAAGCCAACACTGCATCAAGCCAACACTGCATCAAGCCAACACTGCATCAAGCCAACACTGCATCAAGCCAACACTGCATCAAGCCAACACTGCATCAAGCCAACACTGCATCAAGCCAACACTGCATCAAGCCAACACTGCATCAAGCCAACACTGCATCAAGCCAACACTGCATCAAGCCACCACTGCATCAAACCAACACTGCATCAAGCCAACACTGCATCAAGCCAACACTGCATCAAGCCAACACTGCATCAAGCCAACACTGCATCAAGCCAACACTGCATCAAGCCAACACTGCATCAAGCCAACACTGCATCAAGCCAACACTGCATCAAGCCAACACTGCATCAAGCCAACACTGCATCAAACCAACACTGCATCAAGCCAACAATTGGAGAGACCGACTGAAACTTAAAATGCAATGTTTTATGGCATAAGCAGTAGGACAGAAAGTAGAAGAAAGAAAGAAGAATCAGAGGTTAGGTTTGCTGAAATTGGATATTTTGGGTCAAAAAGTGTAGATATCACAGCCTAGCTGTATATCCACAATAACCTTAATGTGCCAACCACCCTTTTAAATGCAAGTTAAGAAGATAACAATTATACCTGTTTCTTTCTCTCCTTCACCTTGCTTTGCTTCCCAGGCAGAATCAAGAGAAACAGGCGCGGCAGCAACAACTGGGTTGTCAGGAACTGACCAGGATGCTGTTTTTTCTGAAGCCACATAGTGAAATGATTCACGGACCACAATCTCTGCTCTGTCATCAATAGCTACTGGAGGCTTTTTACCTGAAACACAAGGCAATGGGTGAACAGAGGTTATGGAGCAAGATGGATGCTTGAACCTGTTGTCAAGAATATATCAGATTAAATAGTGTGCATACAAATAAGCAGATCTGTAAAATGAAAGTGCAAGCAAAGCATAGCATGCTTCTAGAACAAGACCAAAGTTTTAAAGTGGATGAAAAACCACAGGAGTTTACAGCTAGTGAAAGCAAACAAGGAGAATTGTTTATCATCATTATGTGCCCTGCCAACTGGCGTAGGCGCTCATGCGTCTCCACAGATCACAATTCCTGGTTGACTGGAACAGCTCTCTTGATGATATCCCTCCATGCCATTGTTTTAGCCCATCCAGCATCTGTGTTTCTGTGTGTGTCTGTATGCATGCAAGCCTATATGTATAAAGTCGAATATGGGATTATGAGACTGACGTGCGACCTACTGAGCTACCAAGGCTTCAGCCTATATGTAGATATGTGCGCATGCATGTATGTATGTATGCAGGTATAATTTGTGTGTGTGTGAGAGTGGGCAGATGTGTGTATGTGGGTGTGTGCATGCATGTATTTTACCATCCATGCTTTTGTGTTTTCTTCTTGAACATGATTTCGTGATAAAATACAACTGCTGTGTGAAAGAAGGATGTTTAGAAGGGCCAAACGTAAGATGGGCCTGAGTGCCCAATTTGTAACTCTTTGAAAATAAAGTTTGCTCATTCATAATTACAACTGAGCCTTCTATTAGAAAACTGAAGAAGAAAACAAAATGTTTCTCAATGACAAATCAATCAGGGGGTAGGGTCACATCAGAAGGGGGGTAATGACATTTTGAAACGCCGGGGGTTTCAATGGCCACCACCAAATAGCCAAGTTACATTATGTTATCGGCTGGTTAGTTAGTCTACGGAACCTCACTGCACGTCAAACCATTCAGTCCATAAGTAAATCCTCAGTAAATCCCTCAGTGTATAGCAGCTGATGACATCAGTTCAATGTTAGTTTCTTAATTCTTCTTTGGCTTCCTGCTTAGTGTTCTTGTCTTGCCACACCCATTTTAACTTGCTGTTCTTGCAGTCTGGTCATGGTTACAGTTTCAATTACTTCGTTCTTGCAAAGGTCTTATTTTTCGTACAGCATTCAGTATATTAGAGTGGTCCATAGTTCTTCTGCCCTTCACAGCCTTACCAGCAAGCCTAACATCTTCCTCATTTCCTTGAACACCTACAGGCCCTGGTAGGAAAATTAAACTGAAATCTAAAAAAAAAAAAAAAAGTCAGCGGCAACCATCTCTATCTTACTGAGCATACTCAATGAGTTATAGGTTTAATCTGCACCCAATGGTCAATTGGCCGCGTGATGTTGACCACATCACCCACCAAATGCCAATTTGTCTATAAAATATAGGTCTAGCCCTATATGCCCAATACGCCTGAAGGTGCACAAAAGGGTCCTTTACTTGTACAATGGCCAAACATATTTACTTCCCAGAGGTAGATGTTAAGGTGAGGCAACACGGATGTCTAAGCACATTTAAAAAAAATCCACAGATAAGGATTTGAACAGAACAAACCGGGACTTAAAAAAAAAAATACAAAAGTGCACATGAGAAAGATCTTCTTCTTCTTCAGCATTCTGAGCCCTTAAAGTTCACTGCTGCAGATATTACCTGCCCCACTCATCTCTCTGGCAGGCCTTCTCTTTCCAGTAGGTGACAGCAAGTGTTTGCAGGTCTGTCTGGACATTATCTCTCTGTCATCTTCTTCGTCCGCCTCGTGGTCTACAGCCATTCAGCTCCCTTGTGTATTTATTTTTACCTCTCTGTCAGCTTCCCTCCTCTCAATATGCCCCAGCCATTTCAGTCTATTAGCTCTCATGATGCCAGTGATCAATGGTGATTTAAACAGATTATGAATTTTGTTGTGGCATCCGTACCGTGATCAAAACCCACTGCTGGCTGCATGGATTTTTATCGTGGTATGGGGCGTCGTAGGTCGACCCAGCATAAAATGGGTACCAGGATAGCTGTCCTGGGCCCCCGTGTGGGTTCCGGGGCCCCATTGTGGGGAAAACAAGAATAGACCCACTGCCTCCCCAAAAGCATGTCGTAAGAGTCAACTAATTGGGGAGCTTCCTTTGAAGTCGGAGTGCATCTGCCGGAGAGGCAAGGAACCAACAGTCTGTATTCAAGAGAATGAGATCTGTAAAACTGATGCACACGCAACACTCAGGTTCTCAAGCAAGACTGCAGTTCAGTAGTGGACGAGCAACCAGAACCTGCCGCCAGAGTTTACAGCTGGTGAACGCGAAGAAGAAGAAGAAGAAGCTGTCCTGGGTAAGTAGAGACGGCCGGCCTAATGCTGACCACATTACCCACCTAGTGCCGATGGTCTGACAAAATATGGGGCTCTTCCCATATACCAGATGCGCCTAAAGGCGTGACAAGGCATCTTTACTCCTTACTTTTGTTACTATGAACTTCGGTGTTGCTTCTCACTTTTCATTCCCCGCTATTTACACCTTTGATTCATTGTAAGACTGTTTTCAAAAATCTGTCAGATAAGCTAAGAAAATCTGGCAGCACTGACCTTCATCACTTGACACTGACCCTGTGACTATAATAATGCCTGGTGACCCAGGTCGCTGCTCCAGGTCATCAACTGTAATTGGTCGCATCTTTACTCGCCTTTCTTCCTCTTCACTTTGTAAAGACACATCAATAATTAGTAAAACAAACAATTTAATTAAAAACAGAAGTAAGCATCATATACCTTATTATCTGATGATGTCGTTCCACGATCCCTTCTTATCTTCAACATCATCATTAAGATAGTCAAGTTTAATGTTGAAGTCATCTGATGATGTCATTCCACTATCTCCTCTTATCATAATCATCATCATCATCATTAGAGTCAAGTCTGGTGTTGAAGTCATCTGATGATGTCACTCCGCATATCCACTCATCATCCCCATTATCATGGTAGTCAGTAAAATCTGTTTTTGAGGTCATCAGATGAGGTCATGCCACTTCCCTTGCCTTCTCGTTAACATCACACAATTGCTTAATTGATCTAGTAGCCTCTAAATAACAGTCACATGTACCACTGAGCAGACAATGCCACTTCTAAGTGAGTTCACAAACCTGTATGAAAGATAAACCCTCAGGAAGATAAGGGGAAAAAACAAGACATTAACCCTTTCGCTGCTATGGACGACTTTTCTCGATTTCCCGTACGCTGCTACGCCCGTCTTTGGACGTTATTTTTTTTCTTGACCCCCAGTGCTATGGACGTCCTAAGCCGTTTTTGGACTTTTCTTACAGATTTCTGTTACCTCGTATTTTATTGGCTGAAGGGCAATATACATTAGCTATATTTAGATTAAACTGACCCATTTACATACGATTATCACCCGAAGGGTGATAGCTCCGTTAGTCAAGTTTGTGGGGCACCATCGTGCCTCTGACTTGTCACCACTCGGACCAACCACACAACCCCCCAGGGTAAAATTTTTTAGGTGTACAAAACATAGCCCTCAACGCGGACGCATCTTTTGCGTTTAGAGGATAGAAAAGTATTGCGCACAGCAGAGACTTTTTTTTTCACATTGCTTTCACAGGGAGGACAACTATTTCCGGGAACGTAGCAGCGAAAGGGTTAAGGAACCTTGGGGTGAAACTTTCTGTGGAGCCTGTCATTGCCGTTTTCAAAGTCAAAATGGTAGATGTTGTAACTAACTCTCATGGGTACAAAATCAGCAATCAGAAGATTGAACATGCATGAATAAACAAATAAATGAATCAATAACTGTCATCACTGCACTTAGGACACCCCATTAGTGCTCCGTTGCCTCAATAATGAACAAAGAAAGTAATCCCCATAGTGATGGTGCCAGGTGCCACCTGATTGAAAGTTCACTTGTTTTGTTTTTCCCCTTTGTGGGTAGAAACTTGAATGGGAATGCCCAATGTACATTACAAACAAACCTAAACTGCTAGAAAGAAAAAGCATCTAAAGAAGAGTCTGTTTAAAAAAAAAAAATCATAAACTTACAGGTGTCTTTGATCGCTCCTTGTATGCTCTGCCATGGAGAAGAGATCACGCTGAGGCATCAATGGGGCACTGTTCTGTGTCTGTCTCTGTACTTTCGTACCCAGTTCAGAAAAACTATCTGTTGGGAGAGACTGTCAATTATTAGACATGATGATATTATCTGGGTCCATAAGGAAAGAGAAGAACTCTAACACTGCAATAGTCCATGCATGTAGTAGGAGGCAAATGTAAGCTCTTCTTCTTCTTCTTTGGCTGTAAGCTCTGGCGGAAAGTCCTGGTTTTTCATATATTTCGACTTTGGCTTTGTGCCAGGGCCTGAGTGTTGGTTGCATGTATATCTGTTTTAATTGTTTATTTGTGTGCAGTTGGTTGTTTCTTGCCGCTTGGGCCGACACACTCTGACTTTGAAGGAAGTCCCCAGTCAGTCAGCTCTTATACCATGCTTATTTGGGAGGCAGTAGGTCTATTCTTGCTTTCCCCACAATAAGGCCCCAGAACCCACACAGGAAAAACTAAAGCTCAATGAAGTACATTATCAGTGGGTAATCACTCAAGGATTTCAGCTCAACTGTGCAAGACTTGTATTTCCAAAAACTCATACTGATCTCCTGGCCTTCAGGAGCCAGCCTCTGAATCATAATTCTACATCCACTAGCAATCTACTGGAAATCTGTTTCTTTCATTTGGAAAAAAAAAAAAAAAAAAAATGGTGTCTCCTCTAAGAGAGGTTGCAAAAACAATATTAGACTGTCCCATGACCTGTGGATTTTTCCCTGTTTGGGGTAGGATATTAATAAAGCACCAAATAAAATTAAAACTTTTGGAAAAATTCATTCACTGACTGTCCTGTTGTGCCATTATATTCCTATAAATAAGCAGAGGGGGAACCTTTAAGGCCGTTAAATATTATGAATTAATCAAATAACAGAAAGTGTATTGATCGGCACTCATAGAAAGAAGTAGATAGATAGAAGTACACATTATATGCATATAAGGGTGGCAGACTTTTTCTACAATTCATTCTATCCTCTGCAGTGACTTTGTTTGCTTAGCTCCCTGACGTCCTCATTTCTTCAATCCCTAGAACTACTTCTTCACATTCATCTGCTGTAAACTTGGGCAGAAAGTTCTGGTTGTTTATCCACTTCTGGAATTCAGTCTTATCTCAGAACCTGAGTGTTGTATGCACGTCCCTGTTACAAATCTGGCTTACTTGTATGCACACTGCTGGTTTCTCGCCTCTCAAGCAGATGCCCTCCGACTTTGAAGGAAAGGTCCCTAACTGGTAGACTCTTAGGACATGCTTGTTAAGGGAGCAGTAGGTCTATCCTTTAATTTCCCAACAATATGGCCCCAAGCCCACATGGGAAATCCCTAAAATAATGCCTAGCATTAAACAACTATTTGATCACCTAGTGATAACGAAGCAAACGATGCCGGCAACAACGTATAACAGGAAAACAGAAAAAAACCAGAAGCAGAGGAAGTCCTAGAAGAATACAGATTGAGGAAGTCTCTGAGAGCACTTCAAAAAATCACAGCTTATGAAGCAACCGAGCACACCCTACTAGTCTGGCTATTGATCATAAATTAGATATTTACAAAACACAGCATTCGTTTTTGAGATCATCTTCATCGCACATCAAACATGGCCATAAGTGCTCCAGTCTCCATCTGAGTATGACTCCAAGTGTTTTTACGCTAACAACTCTCCCATTCTGTTCTGGCTGATGTAACGGCGGGTGGCCCCCACATGGTTTTCCAGTCTCGTGGCTCCAATTGGTACAGCCAGGGTATGTAGTCTATTCTGTGAAAAATCACTTTCCATGAAAGCCTTACAGCATTCAGTCTCTCATACGGCATTGATGTCTCTCCTGTCCATAGAAGGAAGATTCCTGATAGTCACTGCCAGCCAGAGCATCTGCTCTCTCATTGCCTTTCACACCAGCAGAACCTGGGACAAAAATGAAGGTGAAAAGCACAGAAACACAAAACACAGAAATAAGTTAACACTCTTATTCTCAATAACACAACATCACATAGACAACAACCAATTATATAAATAAACTGTGTCTGACCATTGAAATCGGGAACTCTCCTTGGGTGCTTGTAAGGAGTTGATGACATTGGGTTCTCAAATGGAATGGGGCTCTGTCTTGGAGACATCAGGCCAGGGTTCTGTCTAGGTGATAACATCTCAGGTTGTTGCAGGTCTCCTGAAAAAGAATCAGATATGACTTTGATTTTTCTGTTCTTCATTATGAAAGTTGAGTTGAGTCAAGAATTGACATCCCAGCACTCGGGGCATTCCTATGCATGCTCTGTCCTCATCTTCAGCAGCCAGCGCATAGTTACAATACTGATGGTACCGGTCACAATCTGGTTATATGCCCTTCCTCTGAGTGTAGTGTCAGACCCATTATGAGAGAAAAACTACAGTACATAGGGGATGCTGCTCATCTGATATAAATGCACTGTTTTTATAGATGACATTTTTTTTTTGGCTATAAGTTAACTGTCATATGGTGTAAATCGATTAGCAACTAGTTATTGGTTTTTTATTCTATTATCTACATCTTAGACATTATTTATATTGTCTGTCAATACTGAAAAATTTTAAAGCAAATCTTACCAGATTTTCCAGCATTTTGAGGTAAACTTGATGACCCAGTCAAAGGAAGAGCATTGATGTTTGTAATTCGACAGTGAAAATCATGGTATGCCTTCTCTAAGTTCTGGTGACAAGATTTGAAAATGGAAACATGAAAACTAAACAGAAATCAAGCTGACTTCAAAATGCATACTGAGGAAGTGAATAAACTGCAACTGTGAAAGAATACTGGTTCCTGCAGTGAGTCAATTATATATGTATTGGAATACATATATATACTGCTTGTCTTCACCAGAGGCTGTGTTATGAACTCATGAGTATTTTGATAGCACCAATGCTTTGTCTGCTCCCCCAGTAGGGTATGTAATTAATTATATGGATATGCTGAGCTTATGCTCATAATTGCCATGTTTTTATAATGACTGGCCAGGACAGTGGACAGTGTGCAACGTTCCTTGTGCAGTCATACTCATTATAAGTGCCAATGTACATAGACTGCACATGATTAAATGTAGTTGTGACAGTTACAGCTGTATCTGGGTGCTACGCTTTGCAATAACTTGTGTGGCTCACATGCAAGGAACTTTAATTTTCTTAAATTACTAGATTACTTGACACGGTTAACTGCTGAAGTTGATATTACTACTGAGTGGCTCTATACTGGACCTTGAGATGCTTCCTATCCTCAGAGCAGTCTATCCCTTCAGTTTAACAACAGTTCCTCAACAGCATGAAAGCTCGGAAACCATGCTTGGCCAGACAAAGAACAAAAGAAGGCAAGTTCCTGGAAGCAGAATCAAGGATACAATATCACAAAGGTTTAAAAAAAACCAACATAATACAGTAAAGGACACTGTGTATGCTTCAAGCATGATGCCTGACTAATACTTGTACAGACGAACGTCATGCCGGATCACAGGATGTTGGAGAAACTTGCTAGGAAAAAACCAAGAGATCTGGATGCTTTATGGGTGGAAGAGACATTTTGATGACAAGGACATGGTGATTAGTTATTGAAATGGCCTACATATTTTTAGCTGGTTTAAAATTGACCTCATCATTATCATGTGCCATGTCAATAAGTGTGGGCAGTCATGTCCTCCGATGGTGATTCCTCTCACGTCTTTGAAGTTTCTGAACAAATGTCATGATTAAAGGGAATAAAATTGGGAGGAGTTACACATCCGTGATGCACATCTTTTCCAGACAGGTTAAGGAATTGACTCGAGAACTTGGTGATGACTGGCAAGATTAGTGGAAAGTGAGCAAGAGGATGGCAAAGAGATAAATATCTGGACGGTCTGACCAAATGTATGGGGACAAAACAGGACCACTCTACCTACTGCTGTCCTAACAAGCAAGTCACAAAGCAAAAGTCGACTAATAAGGCATCGGGGTTGGGCTGAAAGGTGCAGACACTGCAGCTTAGCTGTAAACAAGAATACAATGTAAGCCAACTGACCTTCTAAGGGCAAACACATAAGACAAAGAAAATTCTTTACTTTTATTCTGAGAAATTGTGAGCCCTAGAAATAATAAATGATGCCAGTACTGTAGACTCTGCAGCATCCAGCCTAATGTCGTGGAAAGGTGTCCGGGATTACTAAAAAGTTCTATAAACACTAAGCTTCTACTGCACCTATATAATTAAAACATCCTTTTTATACCAAAACCTGTTCTTATTGATAGTTTCTGACCTTTCATTTTGTTTCTTATTTATTGTATTGTAGGTTTTAAACATTTATTATGGAAAAAGGAATTCCACAAATTACTTTCATTCTACTTCCACTAGATTGGGCAGCACTCCGCTTTTAATTTTTTGCTTTGATCTGTCTTCCCGTCTCCAAATGTACTTTTCCTGCCCCTAACTCTGAAGCAATAGTTTTCACCATTACCCAAGAGTTCAGTGGCTTTATAGCACCTAGTTTCTCTTCCATAGTCAATAGAACCTTTTTTCGTTTATCATCCATTTTGTAATCTTCTACAAAACAACAAATGACACAACAATTTGATAAAATAACCTTGAATGGTAGCAAATGTACTCTGCATTGCTGAAATCCTACATACAACTGACAAAGTGAAGAAAGTTAGTTAGCAGGGTGGGAGGTGGGGGAACCCTACTTTGTCAACTTTTGTCATCCATTCATGACAAATGGTTGCAACAACTTGGCAAAGTATATTAATCCTTTTTTTCACTACCAAGAGTTTTTTGTTCTGTTTTTTTGTTAAACTAAACTGAATAATATGGAATCTGGATAACTACCATTTGATTAAGGTTCTACTGTACAATCGCAAAGTCAACTCACGTGTGCTTCTTTATCTAAGTTCAAGAGTCGATACTTGGCATGAGCAATGACATCTGCAGAATCTACTGACGACACTTCATCATCACAGTAGTCACCCCCACCTGACCGAGAAACTGGTGGGAGATCAAAATCGACATCGTGATAGACATCCTTGGCGTCTGCTTCAAATCTCAGAGACCTCCGAGGCCCAGGGAAGTCTAAGTTTAAATCAACAGGGTGTCTGCTGAGACTGCGCTCCTTCTGCACTCTTCCTGATTCATTCAGGGGCGGGCTGGACATAAATTACAGAGATCATTAATGGTCTGTGATAAGCTGTGATATAAAGTTATACACACACAAAAAACCAGATTGACGGTCTGTGATCTGTTTAACGGAATAGAAAAACAGACTGCAAGCCCTATGTGACAAATAAATGGCACAACAGGCGAGAATAATCATCTCTTATAAGCAGCGATATAAGTTACTAGAAAAAAATTCATGTGTTTCATGGCTAAGCTCGTTTGGTGAATAACTCATATACTGAAACTATTTTCCCATTTAAATTAACAACAATTATTGTAATTCCTTTCTGGCGTTTTTCATTTACCAGGAAATTGTGTCGCTTTTTTCGGTCGTGAAAAATGGAGTCTACTTCTGACCATGATACTCCAGTCCATCATCATCAAGTTCCTTGTCGATTGGCTTTAGTCCCTCTTCGGCAATATCAGTGTCACTTAATATATTAAAAAATTATCAAGATGCTGTTGTGCACTGCCAAGTTCTCATGTCTCCAGCTTGCATCCTAGATTTTGCCTTGGATCCTAGGAATGTTTTTTTGTTAGCCTGATCTTGAATCCTGAAGAACTTGTCTCCAATTAAACCCTCTCTGTCTTTTGAACTGACTGACTGATAGTTGTCATTTTTTCCCCTCCTAGTATTATTTAAAAACATGTGGACACAAATAATACCTTGTACAGTGTACTGCCAGGTATTTTTGCTGTATCTTGTGAGGTATACTACTACAATGTTACATCAACATATTCCCTATGTGGATTCCAGGGTCCCACTGTGAGGAAGAGGGGGAAGAGAATAGATCCACTGCCCCCAACCTCCAATGAGCATGTCATAAAAGGCTACTAATTATGGTTATTTCCTTCGAAATCGAGGTGCACATGCCTGAGAGGTGATGAACCGACAGTCTACATGCAAATCAGCCAGATCTGTAAAACAAGTGTGCACGCAAAACTCAAGTTCAAGAACAAGAACAAAGTCCAGAAGTGGATGACAACCAGAACTTTCTGTCGGCGCTTACAGCTGATGAACACTAATAAGCAGAAAATGACACATAATGAAGCACAAAATATGAATCGATATGTCGCTAGTTACAGTGCATATCTCACAAACAGAAAACAAGATAAGCCACGTAGGTATCACGGAAATTTCATGGTTATCACTTCCTCTGTTAATCTGCACAACATAGGATTGTTCATTTTTACTGCATGGCTTCCACTATTTTCAGTAAATGTCGCTAGTATAATTTTTGTGGGAGCTGCGGTAACACATTCATTAGCACAATTTCCTGCTGGTGTGGAGGTAACGAGTTACAATTTCTATGTTGCAGAATTGTGTTTCAATGAGCTTGGATCCCAGGTAAACCCAGCAAACATCATCATCATCATCTCCTTTATACTCATGTTTAAAAAAAAAAAGGATTTTGGCACTGTGTTGTGGTATACAGCTAGTTTGCTATATGCCTTTCAGCCCAATTTACCCAATTTCAACAAACCTTTCACTAGCTGTCTTTCGCAACATGCTTGCTAGAGCCAGTGAGTCTATTCTCTCTTCCTCCCCCACTTTGCCCACCACAAAATGAGAAACTCACATGGGAAACCCAGTTGAGTTTGTGTTCCAAGAAATCATCTGGCAGCTAGGATGATTTTGAGCACCAGTTAACTGTTGCGACACAGAAAGCTTAAAAAAAAAAAAACTTTTTTTTAATCGTTATAAATCCGAGAAGTCCTGTAAAAATTTATTAAATTAACAACCCTTTGACACAGATCAACAAGAAACATTTTTATATCAAGGACAGCGAAAAACATGAACGGAGTGAAGAATTAACTGGATTTGATTCCTCTGGGTCTAAAAACTGTATCGATGACTCATACTGCAACCTCATATAATTTTAACACAAACAATTACGAGGAAATTAGGATGTCAAAATGGCTGTAAAATATTTTGTTCAAAAGATATGTAACTTCTAGTAAATATATTAATATGTTTCTTGGACAGCTAAGAAGAGCAACCTAGATGTTTTAAAAAAGGCGAGCGCTGGAAGACAACTTATCACAAACAGAAAAAAAACAGCCATCATTTTTGGTCATGTTATGAGAAGAAGGAAAATGGAACATGTGACCACTGGAAAGATCTGTGGAAAGAGAGACAGAGGAAGACAGGGTGAGAAGATTCTTGACAGTCTTTTGTCATGGCATGGAAGAATGTTAACACACAAACTGATACACACAGTTGCGGATCGCAGATTCTGAACAGACATGACTGCCCCCGCTAGTCTGCAAGGCACTTGATGATGATATTCATATCCCGACTTCCTAACGCCCACACAACCAATGGCATTAACTAGGTGACTCAGAAACATGCCACTGTAAAAAAGTTTGTTAGTGACATTAACAGGGGACTAGACACAACTAAAAGTGTCGGTTTTGTGGTGTCTCAGAGCATCAGGGTCCATTTCCATAAACATTAACAATTAAAATGACCCTGAGCCTAAAATGGGTTTCAGGTAAAACTTGAGAAGTAAAGTTGACAGGCCTCCTCCACTGGCGTTAAAAGGAAAATTTAATTTTGATGATAGTTTAAATATTTAACCAATTAAGTTCTGTGCCGGCCTACGCCCCTCTAACTAGCATGTCATAAAAGGGGTTCTTCCTTCCAAAGTCAGTGTATCTGTCTAAGAGGCAAGGAACCAACAGTCTACATACAATCAATTTACAGTCAGTGAATGCTTAGAAGAAGAAGAAGAATCAACCAAATTTACCCATCATGCTCCTGATTAGGCTTTTTGTAAACTTCATTGTTAAGAGCTGAAAACAAAGAAAGTATGATGTTTTCAATCTGTATTTTCAATGATAAGTACAAGCACAGTAAAGTTAGTGTTATAACAGACTCAAAAACATTAAATTTAGTGTTATAACAGTCTCAAAAACAGTAAAGTTAGTGTTATAACAGACTCAAAAACAGTAAAGTTAGTGTTATAACAGACTCAAAAACAGTAAAGTTAGTGTTATAACAGACTCAAAAACAGTCTATTTACAGAGGAAGATTATAGTAAACTGTTTTTAACTCTTTCAGTCCCAGCGGGTTTAGCATCAGAGACCCGAGAGAGACATAAAATCAGCACTTCTAGGTAGAAGTAGCCTAGGATGCATTCCTTGGGATTGAAAGAGTTAAAAACAAACAAATTTTGCCAAATTCTTGAAAGTGTCTTAATTCTGAATTATGTCTTACCTCAAGAACAAATTCTGAATTATGTCTTACCTCAAGAACAAATTCTGAATTATGTCTTACCTCAAGAACAAATTTTGAATTTAGAAAGAACAGACCAATTACTGATCTGTCTGTTTATCCATCTGTTTTTTTATCATTGATCGACCCCTCATAAACAATACATGACAAGGCAGATGTCGTCAGGGCTCTTTGGGAACAAGCAATGGAATCATTAGAGATAGCAGATTATTATGGCCTGGAGAGAATGAGGCATCTGGGTGTAACCAGATAGTCTGGCCGGCTCACTACACTCAGAGGAAAGGCAAGATTGTGACCGGTACTATCAGCACTGGAACTCTGCGCTGGCTGCTAAAGATGAGGACGGAACATGTATGGAAATGCCACAAGAGCTGTGATGTCAATTCTTGATGACTCAACTCAGCTCAACTCCCATATAAACGACCGGAAGTCTATGCCTACCTGTTACTGCAAGGGAATATTAAAGGTTTCACTTCTGATCCAAACCTGTTAGCTGAAATGCCCTGAGTTTGTGCATCATATTCTGATACATTCAATTATCAGTCAGGTGCCATCTCCACAAAGAAGGTTGGCTAAAATGGTTTTCCAGTACTCTTTGCTCTAGTCTCTTGCTGTATCAAACTGCTGTCCGTTCAGCTATTATTGCTATCTGATATCACTGTTTACCCCTTTCTGTTCTTCAGAATGGTTTTGTGCTAACTTTTAATGTGACTGAAATGTGACCCTCTCTGTTCTTCAGAATGGTTTTGTGCTAACTTTTAATGTGACTGAAATGTGACCCTCTCTGTTCTTCAGAATGGTTTTGTGCTAACTTTTAATGTGACTGAAATGTGACTATAGTCTAACCCTCTTGCTCAGGAAACAATCAAACAATTAAAAAAAGGGTCACGGTCTGGATTCATTTCCAGAAAAAATTCTCTAAAAATCGTTTGTAAATGCAATTTTACTCAGGTCACTAATAAATCCATTAAACATTTTTTATTGCCCCCCTCCCCCCCCCCCCACCACTAATATAAATGAGGGAAGTGATCAATAAAGACGAACAGAGTGAAGCATTAAACAGATTACATTATCCAGGGCCTTAAAACAAACTGTGTATGGGGTGATTCATGCGGTAGCCCCATGACCTTTATCATTGAGGCATTCCAGAAAATTTGACATTAAATTGGCTTCAAGAAAGCTGTTTGGCTCAAAGGAACCCCACAATGCTATTTTTAGTTAATGTATTCATATCCTGACCTCTTAAACACAGGTGTGAAAACAGTCAACAGCATTAACTATGAGTTTTATAAACAAGTCGGAAAAGGAAAATCTACTGGATCCAAACAGAAGTGTAGGGTGTGTGTAGTTTTTTGGGACAAAAGATTGAAACTTCCTCAATTGTAAACCTACTGCTGACTAAGCCAGTTCCAGTACAAACCTCTTGTGGTCATGTGCAGGTGCTGCCGCAGATCAACAATCTCTCGGTTCATTTCCCTCATTTGTTGCGACTGCTCCTCAAACCTCTGCAAAAGTTCTCTGTTCCGATCCAGCTGTGGACACACAGATATTGTGTAATGACAGGTATGACAGACCTATGTATGAGAGACCCATGTATGACAGACCCATGTATGACAGACCCACGCTTCAGCAGACTATTAAGATACAAAAAATAATTTCATATCAGGGAAACAAAATTTAAAAACTGAAACAACTTGAGGGCATAAAACAATAATTGTGTTTCATGAAGACAAAAGGAATGTGAACAGTTCTTCTGCTGCAACTTTTTCTTACTCTTTCTTCTTTTTCTACCTTTCCTTCCTGCTCCTGCCTCTTCCTCTCCTGTCTTTTCTCTTCTACATGGCTTCTCCCCTTTCATCTTTTGTTTTTTTCCTCCTCCTTTTTTCCTCCTTCGCAATAAAAGACCAAGGAAAACAAAGACATGAACCAGTACAGTGTGACAAGATCCTACCTCCTCTTTCAGCCTGGCTTCCAGAAGTTGCTTTTGTTGATTAAAAATGATCTGTTCCTGCCGTAAGTTTTCTTTGGCCTTCTCCAGGTCTCGGTGTAACATTAAGGACTCAGGGGATGGTCTCCGCAGCTCCCTCAGCAGCTCTTCCTGTCCTAGATTGTAGAAAGATTATACATCATATAAAATGTTGCCTACGCATATCGCACGTAGACTAAGTAGGATAACTGTATCAGATTGTGTCATCCAACAGCACTCAGGTCATGTCTAAATATGTGCTTCCTCTTCCTTAGGAGAGGGCATATTAATCATTCCATAGCTGGCCAAGTTGCTTGAATGCTAGGCTCTCGCGCATGAGATGGTTTTTAAATCACATGCGATGCAGATATTTTTCTGTCTGGGGCAAAAATAAACATCCTAACCTGCACAGGTCGTGGCTACCACGCAAGCCATGATGCCCTAGATTCTCAGGCTCAAAGACATCCCACCTTTCTACATCATTCAAAACAAGTGGTTTTAACCTGGAGGACATGTCCATCTTGGAGGGGGGGGGGGGGGGTGTGTGTAAGGAAGTTTCAAAGGGGAGAATCAAGAAATTTTGAACTTGTAAATCTGTTATGCACTTGTTTCAGTTTAATTAAAAACACTTTTTTTTTTTCAACTATTTATAAACTAAAGACGTCTTGGTAGTCTTAAGCAGTCTGTATATCTACCATTCAATTTCTTCTTCTTCCGTGTTCATCCAAAGATGTTACTGCACTGTGCCCGTATCAAGAAAGACTGTGATATTTGCCTCTTTCGACCGACACATCCAACTTCTACAGGCATTAAAAAATCTAACAGGACATTACAGTTAATGTTAATAGTATTTTGTGTTTTTGTTTGTCCTCTTTTTAATAAAATTTTTTCAAGTGGGGGGAAGTGGGGGGGTGGGTGGGGGGGGGGGGGGGGGGGACCATGCTATATGTTCAAGGAGCCACAAGAAAATATTTTGAAAATGACTGTCCTAAACAGAGGTAAAGATGCCAGTTGGCGATGCTTGTCTTTGCTTCAGCTGCTACCCTGATCCTTCTTGCTAGCACCAAACTAGATTTCTGATACCATCAGTCCTAGCTATCTGTAGTCATTGGTTTGTTTAAGAAGATTTTGTTGAAAAACAACCCAATATTTTGAATTTTATACACTTTAAGAGGCTTGTGATAGCTTACACAGAATATCACTGTGAGGCATTAATGAATGTTATAATTAATTTAAAAAATCTTAAAAACAATCAAAGCAGTGTATGAGGGCTCAGAGTGTGCAGTTCGCACAGATGATGGTTTAAGTGATTGGTTTGCAGCAGAAAACTGGAGTGAAATATGGTATATTTTATCTTCCCTGTTACTTGGCATTACTACTGACTGGGTGATGAAATTGCACAGGATAAAATGAATGTAATAACATGAAGATGATGATGATGACTTAACTCCATAGTTTCCTCTTAGGTCTCTAAAGCTAGCCCTTTTATATCCACCTACACTGGCATCAACTGGACGGTTGAGCCACTTCAGCTTCTCGTAGATGTAACAGCAGCTGCAGAGCCAGAAGTCAACCACTCATTTCAGAGACGTATCCAGATTGAACTTTCTGAAGCACTGACTAGTCAGTTCTGACAGCCACATTTTAGAAAGCCATGTTAGAGCTCCACTTTTATCTCATGCTCATATTCCTACTGTACATGCTCCTCTCTACTCTGACAGTGCAGCTTGCACCTCAGTACACTGATCCCTTCAACCAGTTAAAGTTCTCCCATAATACATATCCCATTAAAAAAAAAAGGTAAAGTCGGGAGATGTGAACCAGTGTCATTGCACACGGTTATAAACCATAAGTGCTCTGCCACCAGTACGGACAGATGATAAGAAACTGTCTGCCTTTTTCGCCACCTGCACGCAACTCCGTAGCTACATCGACGTTCCTCCATTTATCCCAGAGTGTTAGTCTGGTACCTATTACATATTATATGGGAGGTTTCAAATGTTTGCAGCGAGTCACACTTGGATTTGAAAGTGAGTCTCCTATCGACTGCGCTAACGTAGCCCGCCAATTCAAGGAATGAAGAAAAAGGCTATAAATATAAGATAGGTAAAGGATAACTTACTGCCTCTTTCTCTCTCATTCATTGCCAGCACTTCTGCCAGTCGTCTACAATTTTAAATGGAAAATAAGAAAATAAACCAATCAATTTTAACACTTTTTTTTTAACAATCTGGTATGCTTGTAATTTGAAAAAAATATAAAGTAAAACACACATTTAACAATAACAATTATTAAAATCTTCACTCTACTACTCTCCTCATAAATTTTTCTCCCTCCCCATCCCTTTTGCCACTTTCTGCTGCTACTTCACTTTTCTTTCACCTTCTTCTACTTCCTTCTCCTTCACCCTTCTTTCTGCTTTATCTTTTTATTTTCAATGATTCCTTATCTTTCTCATCACAAACAGAAAAGAAAAAGCATCCATAATGCTCATCCAATTTAACCACGGATTCTCTAGCCAACATACAATTATCAAAACATAGTTCTAGTTCAACTCTCTGTCCATCAAGTGTTCTACTGTATGACACAAAAGGTTCAAACGTCTGCTACGAAGTCATCTACACAAATGAGGCTGTAAAAATGTCCCTCTCTGTCACAGGAAACTAAACACAGATGCCCGAAAACATCACGGCTGTTCAAATAACGATGTAGAAGAAGATGATTTTCTCTAAACAAACACAAAAAAACAATTACACCTATTTAATTTCCAAGTTTCTAACCACACAACAATTACAACTTACGTTCTGACAGTTTCCAACTCATTTCTGTAGAGAACCACCTGTTCTTTCAATGTACTATAGTCTGACATCTGGGGAATATAATGCACATTCATCTATCACTGTTCCACTTCTATGCATTCTAATTCCATTGCTGATTCATGAACTTCCAATCAGTATGACAGATAGGCAGGCTTACTGTTTTTTTTTTTGGTAGTCGTCACAAGTTTTTTCTTCTAACAATAGTTAGCCAATAAATTTTCCTCCATTTGTAGACTGAAAGGATATAGTTCCATCACTCAGCTATTGAACTGAGTGCATGGTGCGACACACTGTGAGCTGCAAATTTCATTTGGAATACGTTTCAACTGTGCCCAGTGTGTTGTCGACTGCAAATTCAGTGAAATAATGAGTGGCCTGTTGCCAGAGAACTGGTGGTGCCTTATGTGATTAAAGGTATGTGCAACTATTGATCTGTTGCAACTGCTGCTTCCATCGATGATGAACTGCATTTCTAGTCTGTTTTTTCCACAAGGAACAGTGATGTACATTTTTGCTCTGAGAAGCTGCAAAACTTAAACTTCCAGCTGGGCCCCCATTCCTGGTAAATGTCACTTTTCTGACCTATGTATAGCGAAAGTTCATGAGTGGCATAGTTTATGCTATTGGCTCTGTTTGTGTCAGTGAAAATGTTTAGAAAGTCTAGATATGAATACATTAACAAAAAGTAGCGATCAGAGGGTTTCCTTCAAACCGATAATAGTTTTATTCAATTCAAGTTGACCATAAGGTTTGGTAAGAGATCACATGGTCATGGCAGGAATCGTGAGATACACATTTTTTTAGGCTCTTTTAAAGCCCCAGTTAATATATCCTATTTAATGTTTCACCCTGTTCATTGATTACTCACTTTACACATCTTTAAATCTCTCGCTCTCTCTCTCTCTCTCAAGTAGATAAATAAATTGTTCATGAACTTATTAGCGACAGGTAAAACTGCTTCATTAATGATGTTTGTCTTCTGAAAATCCAACCTAATTTTTGTAGTGTTCCCAGGGTGAGAAGCCTAAGAGCAAAGTATCAACTTACATCTCTCAGTTTTGCGTTGACATACTCATTGTTTTTAGTTGCATTCATTTCACTGTACTTGGCTTCTGTCAGCATCGCCTATAAGGCAGAGACAAAACAAACATGTTTTATCAATTTATCATGGAATAATAATAACATCCTATTTTTTTTTTTTCATCCTTCTTACTCTTCTTATTACACGTTTAAACAAAGACTCCAGAACTTGGTGATATTTAACAGCAAGAAAAAGACAAAATGTATAAACATGGATAAGAACAATGCCTGATCCTGGTGGTCATTTAAGATAGTACACAATAACTGCCTACACTTATAGGCAAGGCACATGATAATTATTGCTACTCTTCTTTCATGGTTTCTAGTTGCAGACTTCAACATTTATGTTCTGGATAAAACCTGCCACTCATTGCAGGACCTCTATAGTTTGTAGTGTGGTTCCTGGCGGGTTAAGCTTGAATCAACCACCGTGGTATTGCTGTGTAGGTCTCGGGGCCCCATTCGGTTGGGGAGGGGGCCCTGCTCTCCTAAGAAGTATGTTGTAAAATATGGCTAATTCTAGATTTTCTTTTAAAATGGGATTGCATCTGCCTAAAAGGAGTAGTCCTGCATACAAAAACTCTGTAAAATGGAACAAGACCAAAGTCCAGAAGTGGACGAAGAACCAGAACTTTCCCTTGGAGTTTACAGCCGGTGAATGCTAAGAACTACCTTGGTAGTGGGGATGAGTCTGTGGATGTTCTCTGGATCTGGTCTTAAAACAAACGTTGATGTTATCAGTGGTAATTTAGCTACTTCACTACAGACCCCCAAGACAGTAAAGACAGCAAGATTTTAAAAAAAAAACCCAGTAAAGACTCTGTTAACTCTTTGAGTCCCAGGGGGTTTAGCATCACAGGCCCAAGGGGTAGTCAAAAGAGACATAAAATCGGCGCATCATGCGTTCATTAGGCTTCTATGTAGGAACCTATGAACGTATGATGCGTTTCTTAGGACTCAAAGAGTTTTTAAAAAAAGATGACAATGTTTTAGAAAGACAGAGACAAGAAGGAGAAAGTTTAAAAAATAAAGGACAGAAAAGGCAAGGCAGTAAGGAGCTGGATACTCCATCTTGTAATATCTAACACTTCCCAATACTAGGTTACTATGTGCTGTACAGTTACCCTTTTTAGTCACGACATTTCTGTGTGGGTTCTGGTGCCCCACTGTGGAAAAGGAACAAGAACAGACCCACTGACTCTCCAACAAATGTGTCATAAGAGTCAATGAGGGCATCCATCGAAGTGAAGTGCATCTGCCTGAGAGATAAGGAACCAACAATAGAACTTTCCACCAGAGTTAACAGCTGGTGAACGCGAAGAAGAAGAAGTTAGGAGAATATATCCCCCCCCCCCCCACCCCCCAACCTATTAGGCTGTGATTTTTTTGACAAGACCAACCACTCTGAACTATCTTTCAAGTACACCAACTCTATACACTCTAAAGATACTAACTTCTGCTAAGGGTTGTCAGACTGACCTCTAGTTCATTGACCCTGTGTGTTTTATCTCGGAGTTCATCCTTGACCTGTTGAATACGAGCCTTCTCTTCGGCTACAGCTCTCTCCCCCTCTGAAATGATGTGAATGTGTAAGAACACTGCAGCAGAAGTGGTAAAATGAAGCAGTAGTAGTAACACAATTAGTTGTAGTAATAAGTGTAAAAGCAGTAGTATTGGTAGTAGTAGAGATTAGGAGTAGCAGCAGAGGTAGTTGTAACTGTAGTAGTAACAGCAGCAGCAAAAGTAGGGGAAATAATGGTAATAGCAGCAGTAGCAGTAGTTGTAATATTAGTAGTAGTTGTAGCAGCAGCAGTTGTAGGTGGATTTCAAGAGTAATTAACAACTGACTAAAGAGAAGCTAGTGAAGACAGAACATTATATACAACTGTAAGAAAGGGACCCCACGACATGGAGGTGACAGCCTTTAAATCTAATCTAGCCACTCCAGCGACAGTCCCTTGAAAATTACTTTATTTTCACTTTGGGAACCCTCACACCCAGGGGATTGAACTGTCAACACGGCTTTATCTAAAATTCTCGAGGTATGGCCTTTGCCCCCCCCCCTCCCCCCGATATATATTCTCAGAACCCATGTTGGCAGCTCATTCCACTGGCAAGACATCAACGTGGCTGCTTCAGGATACTTCAGTTCAGTGATTTTGTTTGATTTATGTATGTGCTGATGAAGGCTCTATAGCCTCAAAGTTCACGTTTCATTGGTGTTTGTTATATTGGGAAGCTCGCTGATCTACTTTTCGTTCACTTGTATATCTTTCCATGCAAGAAAGGAAAAAATACATTCTTTATCTTTGTGAAAAGAGGAGAGGTATTTAGGACTATTATGACAGTGGAAACATCAGTGGTAGAAAAAAAAAGAAGAAATAACTACATGGTCTAAGAAAAATCCCCAACAGAAACATCTACACCACCAAGGGCAGAGACCTGTGAAAAGTCACGAATCTGGACACATGAAAAAGTTCCTAACCATGTCAGTATTTGTAGAGACCATGTCTAGACAATGCAGCATAATCCCTTTCTCTTTGTTAACTCTAAAGGAAGGTGGCACCATCTAAATCTACAAAATTAAAAAAAATTTTTACATGAGAAGCAAAATCTACCTTTAACTGCTGCCTCTCTTGCTTCGATATTCTGCAACCTCTCAATAAATCTGGCCTGTTGGTCCAGCTTAAACCTGGCAGAGAGGCAACAAAGTACAGTTCCAAAACAAGCGACAAATTTATTGGATGATCAAACAGTGAGGTCAAAAAAATCATGAACACCTCTGTTTTCATATACAATATGGGGGAAACAACAAAAAAATTGAAAAATATACAAAAATAATTTATGCCATGATCTACAAAATATGGAATATTTTGTTCACCTTTTTTTTTTCATACCTTGGTGTACCTGAAGGAAGAAAATAGTGATGGCTACAAAATCAAAAGTGCATTGCTTTCGTGGACACCACATGTAACCCAAAAAAAATAAAGGCTTAAAAAATATTTTTTTTGCCAAAACTCTAATCCAGCTCATGGACACTTATAACTAATGAGTGGAAAATCATAACACAACAGAGAGGAAATGTCTTAAAACAGTGCTGCAGTAATAAGAGACAAAAATAAAAATGTAAAAAAAAAAATTAGAGGAAGACTAAGATAAACCAGTCAGACTGTTCACCAAAGAGCAACAGATGAGATGGTTTGGCCATTTGATGATAATGCCCGGAGACCAGCTGCCACAGAGTCAGGCTAAAGAAACATTATGAACGCAGAGAACAGGAGAAGACCACAAAAATAGACAGCCAAAAAAAAAAAAATAGCCTTACAAATATTTAAAAATGAAGATCAACTTAAGCAATGCATTAGAAAGAGCACAAAGAAAATCCTTACAGTCCCCCCCCCCCCCCCCCTCCTCCTCCCCCCAAACACACATTGATGAGGTAACTGGACAAAGAGAAGAAGAACAAAATTTGATGTCAGATTTTCAAAATACTCACTGGGCCATTTCATTCTGCAGACGCTGCTCAAATGATGTCTCCTTCTGCCGGATTTCCAGTTCTCGTCTCCGTAAATCTGTTTCTTTATCTCTGAGCCGATCCTCTGACAATTTTTTCTCCCTGTTCACACAAGAAACAAAACAAAAAATACATTGACAGGCTTAGCCAGCTCAAAATAAATTCAGATTATAGCGTAACATCAAAACCAAGATATAATTGTATATGAATGTTGGGATCACTTTTTTTTTAGAGTAGCTTAAACCAGAGCTCTCAGAACTGTATAAGACTGAAATGACGGAATTAAGAGCCAATACCACATTTATGGGGCACTCCCATAAGCCTCAAGATGTGTGAGGGGAGTGGGGGTGGGTTGGGAGAAGCCATTTACTGCCAAAAACTGCCATGATATGATTATTTCTTACCGTTTGTTGACTTCTGCTTCTCTTCTGACTTCAGCTTCCCTCTGTCTTACAGCCTCAATCTCTTCTAGGATTGACTGGCGCTGGGCGTACGTTTCTCTTTCTTGTAACTGTGGAAAACATGTCTACCTTTACTACTAATATATGATGGAGATAGTAGGGTGAGGAGAAGCATGGTTACCCATGCCAGTCAACAAGGCACTTGATGATGACGACCTTCTTCTTTGCGTTCACTTTCTGTAAACTCCAGGGAAAAGTCATTGTCCACTTTTGGACTATGGTCTTGTTCCAGGACTTGAGTGTTGTGTTTTACAGATCTGGATTGTTTGCAGGAGCACTCAAACTTTGAAGAAAATGCTGACCTTATATGTATGCTGGCCAGGCCCTAGTAGGAAACCCTTTTCCTAGGTTGACTGCAGAATGGTGTAGATAGATAGGTCTTGCAGTGAACCTCTTCATCCATGACGACGATGATGATGATGATTTAAAACATGCTTATGGAGATCACAAGATATGGAGAAGTGTGGTTGCCCAAACCAGTCAGCAAGACACTGCAATGATGAAACTTGGTGTTTCCCATAAATTTACATAACCCAGTATTGAACCACTAGTTTCAGGCAAAACAACAGCCATAAGCCCTTCTTCCTACTGTCTGTCCCATCTGGGCTGACTAACTGAAGATCATATACCCCGAGATCACAAAATCTCAATCTTGATGGCAAACCAACAGGACAAATCCCAGTTATCTAGTTCAACCTCCAAAGAAGTTATAGTTTGGGACACCTGTAACAGCTAAACCAGCCTGGTGTAAACTGCAGTCCTGTATGGATAAGGGTCTGACTGACTACTGTCAGGTGTAGACAGCCCATGTTGGGTGGATAAAGGTGTGACTGACTACTGTCAGGTGTAGACAGCTCATGTTGGGTGGATAAAGGTGTGACTGACTACTGTCAGGTGTAGACAGCTCATGTTGGGTGGATAAAGGTGTGACTGACTACTGTCAGGTGTAGACAGCTCATGTTGGGTGGATAAAGGTGTGACTGACTACTGTCAGGTGTAGACAGCTCATGTTGGGTGGATAAGGGTGTGACAGACTACTGTCAGGTGTAGACAGCTCATGTTGGGTGGATAAAGGTGTGACAGACTACTGTCAGGTGTAGACAGCTCATGTTGGGTGGATAAAGGTGTGACAGACTACTGTCAGGTGTAGAGTGCTCATGTTGGGTGGATAAGGGTGTGACTGACTACTGTCAGGTGTAGACAGCTCATGTTGGGTGGATAAAGGTGTGACTGACTACTGTCAGGTGTAGACAGCTCATGTTGGGTGGATAAAGGTGTGACTGACTACTGTCAGGTGTAGACAGCTCATGTTGGGTGGATAAAGGTGTGACTGACTACTGTCAGGTGTAGACAGCTCATGTTGGGTGGATAAGGGTGTGACAGACTACTGTCAGGTGTAGACAGCTCATGTTGGGTGGATAAAGGTGTGACAGACTACTGTCAGGGTGTAGACAGCCTCATGTTGGGTGGATAAAAGGTGTGACAGACTACTGTCAGGTGTAGAGTGCTCATGTTGGGTGGATAAGGGTGTGACTGACTACTGTCAGGTGTAGACAGCTCATGTTGGGTGGATAAAGGTGTGACAGACTACTGTCAGGTGTAGACAGCTCATGTTGGGTGGATAAAGGTGTGACAGACTACTGTCAGGTGTAGACAGCTCATGTTGGGTGGATAAGGGTGTGACTGACTACTGTCAGGTGTAGACAGCTCATGTTGGGTGGATAAAGGTGTGACAGACTACTGTCAGGTGTAGACAGCTCATGTTGGGTGGATAAGGTTGTAGGTGTGACAGACTACTGTCAGGTGTAAGAGTGCTCATGTTGGGTGGATAATGGTTGGGTGTGACTGACTACTGTCAGGTGTAGACAGCTCATGTTGGTGTGATAAAGGTGTGACAGACTACTGTCAGGTGTAGACAGCCCATGTTGGGTGGATAAAGGTGTGACAGACTACTGTCAGGTGTAGACAGCTCATGTTGGGTGGATAAAGGTGTGACAGGCTACTGTCAGGTGTAATCAGCCCATGTTGGGTGGATAAGGGTGTGACAGGCTACTGTCAGGTGTAGACAGCTCATGTTGGGTGGATAAAGGTGTGACAGACTACTGTCAGGTGTAGACAGCTCATGTTGGGTGGATAAAGGTGTGACAGACTACTGTCAGGTGTAGAGTGCTCATGTTTGGTGGATAAAGGTGTGACAGACTACTGTCAGGTGTAGAGTGCTCATGTTGGGTGGATAAGGGTGTGACAGACTACTGTCAGTTGTAGACAGCTCATGTTGGATGGATAAGGGTGAGACTGACTACTGTCGGGTTTAGACAGCCCATGTTGGGTGGATAAGGGTGAGATTGACTACTGTTGTGTGTAGACAGCCCATGTTGGGTGGATAAGGGTGAGACTGACTACTGTTGGGTTTAGACAGCTCATGTTGGGTGGATAAGGATGAAATTGACTACTGTTGGGTGTAGACAGCTCAAGTTGGATGAATAAGGATGAGACTAAGTACTGTTGGGTGTAGATAGCTCATGTTGAGTGGATAAGGGTGTGACAGACTACTGTCAGGTGTAGACAGGTCATTTTGGATTCCTGTGTGTTGTTGTTGTTTGCATTCACCAGCTGTAAATTCCAGCACCCAAAAAAAAAAAAAAATGGTTGTTCGTCCATTTCCTGGACTTTTGCTTTGTTCCAGTCAGTTTTACAGATCTTGCTTATTTGTATGCAAACTGTTGGTTCCTTGCCTCTTAGGCAGATGCACTCCAACTTTGAAGGAAGTCCCCCAATTAGTCGACTCTTACGACATGCTTGTTGCAGAGGCAGTAGGTCTATTCTTGTTTTCCCCTCAATGGGACCCCGGAACCCACACAGGGAGTTTGTGGTTTATAAAGCATTTGTCTCTGAACATGGAAACCCCCCAACAATAACTCCAGTTTCCTCCCATAGATAAGACAAAGGAGAAATTTTAACAATGCACAGAATCTCTAGGACTGATAAGGGTCCTGGAGGCTAATCAATAAATGCTTATAATTTGACAAAAGGAGACATTACGCCTACAGCAAATTGGATCATGGTTTAAGAATGAAAGGCAATTAAGGCAAAATGATGCTGACCATCTTAGTGTTCACCCCATCTTGTGCTGGTTGGTCTATAAAAATATTGAGGTCAGAACTTGAGCCCCTATATGCCCTATCAGCCTAAAGGCGTGGAGAAAAAAAAAAACCTAATTAGTCCTTATCTATGATATGTTTAGGTGGGAGTCGTTTATTAAGATGAAAGGCAATTTGGGTGGACAATGGCATGATATATGATAGGTGGAGTCGTTTATGAACTGTTTGATATTATATCTTTTTCATCTTAGTGTTCACTCCAGTAGAAAGTTCTGGTTGTTTATCCATTCTTGAGTTTGTGTTTATTGCAGAACTTGAGTTCTGCATAGTTATTTTTATGCAGACTTGCCTCTGAGTCAGATACACTCTGACATCGAAGAGAGAAAAAAAAAACCTAATTAGTCGTTATCTATGATATGTTTGATAGGTGGAGTCGTTATCTATGATATGTTTGATAGGTGGAGTCGTTATCTATGATATGTTTGATAGGGGGAGTCGTTATCTATGATATGTTTGATAGGTGGGGTTAGTGGGCCTGATCTTTTCCCCAATCAAAATGGGGCTCATAACCCACAAGAGGAGAACTACATTTTTAAAGGCTTTTTCTCATATGGCAATGAACCTGATATAACCTCTGACACAGTAAAATGCATTTTATGACTGGCCTGTGACAACCTCAATCAAAACAAAACCGCATGGTACACAAGGAGACTTTGACTGCATGACAGCATCCATCAAGGCTACTAGCCCCCTAATTTTTTTTCTGACAGAAGGATCGAAGAAGAAACAGCTCTGAACTGTGATATGAACTCTGACCTGGTATTAAAACTGATATGGCTCCAGCCAGTCAACGCTTGTTATGTTATGTTATCACAATCGATGTCACTGCACATTGAGCATTCCCAGGCGTGCTCAGTCCTCCGATGCAGCAGCCACTCCAAAGTACTTCTACTAATTGTTCCCATGAGAAGCTAGTTATATCGTCTCCTATCTCAGCCTCGAAGACGGCACAGACATGCTTCACCATGCTTTACTCCCATATCACGTAATCGTTGTAGTGTCAGGGATTCCTCATTATCCACTAGCACAGTCCCTACAGCATTGACCGTATCTGCTCTAGTTCAGATACCTATGCTAATGCTCTAGAAGATAATGCTCTAGAAGATAATGCTCTAGAAGTCAACGCTTACCTCTAGCTGCTGTTGCAACCTCTCTGTTGCATTCCTCTCCCTCTGCACTAGAGCATCATGCTTGTCTTTATATATTCTCTCAAGCTGTTTAAATCAAAAACAATTAATCAATTACTTTCAGTAACGCACAAAAATAATGTGTTACCGACGCCCAGGGTGGAAACAAGGCAAATTAAAGGAGCATTTTTCAACGCCAGTAACGCACTGGGCATATGAAACTGGGCTCATATTCTTACAAACCAGCACTAGGTGTTTGATGTGGTCAATATCACGCCGGCCGCCTTTACTTTCTATGAAACACATGGTCGCTATAATACTGCCCTGGATTCATGCTACGGAGAGAAAGAACTTCATCTTGGTCATAAATAGACTTTTCTTATCCTCAATAGGTTTTGCTAGTCGCTCCGGCCATCCCCATAGGTTATCATAGGTTATCATTTCCATGCCTCCCTGTGGCCTAATACAATACTATCTTCTGGAAAGACAGAATCGTGGGGGTGGGGAAGAAGAGAGGTGTAATGAATAGTAACCCTAGGCAACCAAGAAGGGTAAAGTGAGACTGGCTCCCTCAAGCCGTAGAAGAATTTAGCTGTCAATTCCACATAATGCTGTTCTCATGTAGTACGCACTAGCTGTTGGCTGATTTTGTCCCATTCTGACCAGATGACTAAACCATTCATTTCTATGATATCCTATGAAATCTTTCACCAATACTGTGCTTACTAGTTCTTAGTTTTTCATTGTTAACTCTCTCTTCCTGTTTTTCCCCACAGCATATCTTATACATCTTATATTACATGTATCATGACTAATAAACTCCAAATAATCAAGATGAAAACTATAAAGGGACTGGATGGCAGTCTATGTTTCAATAGATGGTGAAAGGCAGAAAAATAAGATACATATGAATATAAAGTCTTTTAAAAATCACTTCTCACACTGTGAAACACATGTCCAATCCTTTATAACATTCAAGGTTTGAATTTTTTATTTTTAAAATTCCTAGTCTGTACGCTTCATTACAACTGCTTGGGCAAGCACTCTTTGTTCTTCAGCCATGGAAGAACTCACGGCACACACGGGAAACTGTCTGCCATCTCAGAAGTCACAGCCTTGATTTTCAGAAGACAAGAAAATCTGAACATAGGACCTCCCTTGTCATTTATGAGTTAACAAATTATATCTGGCAACTTTTACAGTATCATAAAAAGAATGTATAAAATAACAGTATTCATAAATCTACTTATATGTGATGCAGAAATATTAACAAAATACATTATATGTCATACGTACATCTCTTCTAGCTTGTTCTAGAGCTTTCCGGCTGTTTTCTTTTTCTTCAAGTTTAATAGCAGCAATTTCAGCATCCCGCATCCTTGCAAGCTAAATATAATTGTTGTAAGATTTTTAAATTCAATGCTGGTGTGTAAGATTTAAACTTTGACTCCAACTAAACAGACAAAATATTAAAATAAGGCATCTGAAATGTGGGTCTTCTGGGAAAAGCTTTTTGGATTGGAAACAAAAAGGACAAGTAAGGAAGTTTTGGAACAAAATATATTAAAAAAACAAAGAACAGTGACGCTGAAAAGAAAGTAAACATAAGAAAATTCATGTATATATTTTGTGTGTGCTTCAACTACTTGTATATGTTATAACTCTGTAGAAATGAACCTGAAAAGATACAGCCAATAATGCATGGCAATAAACTGTTTTTGAGTCTCAATTATTTAAATTCACTGTGCGAAAACACAGCTATGGTTAAGTATCATCACTCATCATGTAGCAGGTCCTTTGCAGAACGTCGCTCTCATCACAGTCTGCCTGAAAGAAACTCGGTCTCTCGCCAGTTCTCCCGCCTCATGCATTTTCACATTGAAGGAGTCATCTATATCCTGTGCCCATCTTTGTGTCGGTCTGCCCCTGCCCCTCCTTCCTGCCTTCTGCTATAATTTTTTCAAATCCGTTGTGGCGCTTGATATGACCAAAATATTTCAGCTTTCGAAGCACCAACAAGGAAATCAAAATCAAAATTTTCAGAGCTCCCTGTAGCAACACATGGATGTGAGTCCTGGGCTGTTTTGCAGTAATTAAGAAAGAAAATAGAGGCTTTCCAGCTGAAATGGAATAACATGGACCAAGAAGAAAAGAAATACTGACATTATAAAAGACCTGAAAATCAAGGAAGATTGGCTAGTAAATAGCTTACTGGTATGACACATGTAGGAGTGATGTGGTGAACTGAGACTATCTACGCTTACTGGTATAACACATGTAGGGGTGATATGGTGAACTGTGACTATCTGCGCTTACTGGTATAACACATGTAGGGGTGATATGGTGAACTGTGACTATCTACGCTTACTGGTATAACAAATGTAGGGGTGATGTGGTGAACTGTGACTATCTACGCTTACTGTTATAACACATGTAGGGGTGATGTGGTGAACTGTGACTACCCAAGCTTACTGGTATGACATATGTAGGGGTGATGTGGTAAACTGTGACTGCCCAAGCTTACTGGTATGACATATGTAGGGGTGATGTGGTAAACTGTGACTACCCAAGCTTACTAGTATGACATATGTAGGGGTGATGTGGTAAAATGTGACTACCCAAGCCTACTAGTATGACACATGTAGGGGTGATGTGGTGACCTGTGACTGCCTAAGCTTACTAGTATGACATATGTAGGGGTGATGTGGTGAACTGTGACTACCTAAGCTTACTAGTATGACATATGTAGGGATAATGTGGTGAACTGTGACTGCCCAAGCTTACTAGCATGACATATGTAGGGGTGATGTGAACTGTGACTGCCTAAGCTTACTAGTATGACATATGTAGGGGTGATGTGGTGAGCTGTGACTGCCCAAAGAAATATCTACGCTTACTAGTATCTAGTAGTATCTAAGCTTACTAGTATGACATATGTAGGGGTGATGTGGTGAGCTGTGACTGCCCAAGCTTACTAGTATGACATATGTAGGGGTGATGTGGTGAACTGTGACTACCCAAGCTTACTAGTATGACATATGTAGGGGTGATGTGGTAAACTGTGACTACCCAAGCTTACTAGTATGACATATGCAGGGGTGATGTGGTGAACTGTGACTACCCAAGCTTACTAGTATGACATATGTAGGGGTGATGTGGTAAACTGTGACTACCCAAACTTACTAGTATGACATATGTAGGGGTGATGTGGTAAACTGTGACTACCCAAGCTTACTAGTATGACATATGTAGGGGTGATGTGGTAAACTGTGACTACCCAAACTTACTAGTATGACATATGTAGGGGTGATGTGGTAAACTGTGACTACCCAAGCTTACTAGTATGACATATGTAGGGGTGATGTGGTAAACTGTGACTACCCAAGCTTACTAGTATGACATATGTAGGGGTGATGTGGTAAACTGTGACTACCCAAGCTTACTAGTATGACATATGTAGGGGTGATGTGGTTAACTGTGACTACCCAAACTTACTAGTATGACATATGTAGGGGTGATGTGGTGAACTGTGACTACCCAAGCTTACTAGTATGACATATGTAGGGGTGATGTGGTTAACTGTGACTACCCAAGCTTACTAGTATGACATATGTAGGGGTGATGTGGTAAACTGTGACTACCCAAGCTTACTAGTATGACATATGTAGGGTGTGATGTGAACTGTGACTGCCAAAGCTTACTAGTATGACATATGTAGGGGTGATGTGGTGAACTGTGACAACCCAAGCTTACTAGTATAACACATGTAGGGGTGATGTGGTGAGCTGTGACTGCCCAAGCTTACTAGTATGACATATGTAGCGGTGATGTGGTGAACTGTGACTACCCAAGCTTACTAGTATGACATATGTAGGGTGTGATGTGAACTGTGACTGCCCAAGCTTACTAGTATGACATATGTAGGGGTGATGTGGTGAACTGTGACTGCCTAAGCTTACTAGTATGACATATGTAGGGGTGATGTGGTGAACTGTGACAACCAAAGCTTACTAGTATAACACATGTAGGGGTGATGTGGTGAACTGTGACTGCCCAAGCATACTAATATGACATATGTAGGGTGTGATATGGTGAACTGTGACTACCTAAGTTTACTAGTATGAAATATGTAGGGTGTGATGTGAACTGTGACTGCCCAAGCTTACTAGTATAACATATGTAGGGGTGATGTGGTGAACTGTGACTGCCTAAGCTTACTAGTATGACATATGTAGGGGTGATGTGGTGAACTGTGACAACCCAAGCTTACTAGTATAACACATGTAGGGGTGATGTGGTGAACTGTGACTGCCCAAGCTTACTAGTATGACACATGTAGGGGTGATGTGGTTAACTGTGACTGTCTAAGCTTACTAGTATGACATATGTAGGGTGTGATGTGAACTGTGACTGCTCAAGCTTACTAGTATGACATATGTAGGGGTGATGTGGTTAACTGTGACTGTCTAAGCTTACTAGTATGACATATGTAGGGTGTGATGTGAACTGTGACTGCTCAAGCTTACTAGTATGACATATGTAGGGGTGATGTGGTTAACTGTGACTGCCTAAGCTTACTAGTATGACATATGTAGGGTGTGATGTGAACTGTGACTGCTCAAGCTTACTAGTATGACATATGTAGGGGTGATGTGGTTAACTGTGACTGTCTAAGCTTACTAGTATGACATATGTAGGGTGTGATGTGGTGTGACTGTGACTACCCAAGCTTACTAGTATGACATATGTAGGGTGTGATGTGGTGAACTGTGACTGCCCAAGCTTACTAGTATGACATATGTAGGGTGTGATGTGGTAAACTGTGACTACCCAAGCTTACTAGTATGACATATGTAGGGTGTGATGTGGTGAACTGTGACTGCCCAAGCTTACTAGTATGACATATGTAGGGTGTGATGTGGTGAACTGTGACTGCTCAAGCTTACTAGTATGACATATGTAGGGGTGATGTGGTGAACTGTGACTGCTCAAGCTTACTAGTATGACATATGTAGGGGTGATGTGGTGAACTGTGACTGCTCAAGCTTACTGCTATGGCACATGTAGATCAATGAAAAGCAAAGGAACCTTTTCACGCCTCCGGTCAACCAGGCATACAGAGACGGACCTTTAATTTCACAGACCAATCGGCACTCAACGAAGTGGTCATCAAGAAGGTTGCCTTTACTTCCCATGATATTACCTCCTACCCACTGTTGGGCTGGGCCAATCTGGGAACCATAGTCAATTCTTGAACAAAATCCGCCTCGATGAGATTTTGAGCTCTAGATCATCGCAATGGGTAGGTGGTCTCACATGATGATGATGAATTTGATCATATAAACAAATGTATTCACAATCAATTTTTTTTTAAAAGGGTCTACAAAAAAGCTAGAGGTTGGCATGATAGGGATGATGATGACAGTTGTGGTGATAGTAATGGCAGTAATGACAATGACGATTGTGATGACACTAGTAGTAACAAAATTGATGGGGACAGCAGTAATGACAGTGATTATGACGATGATGATAATAATGGCAATAATGGTAGTAATGGTAATACTAGTGATTATGATCATGACAGTGATGATGATGACAATAGTGCTAATGACAGTGATGATGAAGATAATAGTGCTAATGACAGTGATGATGATGACAATAGTGCTAATGACAGTGATGATAATTACAATAGTGCTAATGACAGTGATGATGATGACAATAGTGCTAATGACAGTGATGATAATGACAATAGTGCTATTGACAGTGATGATGATGACAATAGTGCTAATGACAGTGATGATAATGACAATAGTGCTAATGACAGTGATGATGATAACAATAGTGCTAATGACAGTGATGATGATGACAATAGTGCTAATGACAGTGATGATGATGACAATAGTGCTAATGACAGTGATGATAATGACAATAGTGCTAATGACAGTGATGATGATGATGACAATAGTGCTAATGACAGTGATGATAATGACAATAAAGCTAATGACAGTGATGATGATAACAATAGTGCTAATGACAGTGATGATGATGACAATAGTGCTAATGACAGTGATGATGATGACAATAGTGCTAATGACAGTGATGATGATACTGCGCTCATGATTGTGATGATGATAATAACAACATTAGTAATCGTGCTCCCGATGATAATAACAACATTAGTAATGGTGATCCCGATGATAATAACAACATTAGTAATGGTGATCCCGATGATGATGACAACAATAAAAATAATATTCAATGAATTATTTAAATGTGAAAGACAATTAGTAATGCCTGGTTTATTTTATACCTCCATCTTCAGCTGTGTGTTGTATCTGTCCTCTAACTGTCGTTGAAAGCTTAGCATTCTCTGCTCTGCCCCTGACCTCCCTGACAGCAGGAAATCTTCACGCCTAGAGGAGTACAGCTCGTCAACACTAGAAAGTTTGACGTCTGTCACCAAAAAATACCAGAATATCAATCAAACCACAGATGATAATATGATAATAAGTCTTGTTTTAAATTACAGGAAAACAAAAACTACTGTGCCTGGCAAGCTCCAGAAATAAAAACTATTGCGCCTGGCAAGCTCCAGAAATAAAAACTATTGCGCCTGGCAAGCTCCAGAAATAAAAACTATTGTGCCTGGCAAGCTCCAGAAATAAAAACTATTGTGCCTGGCAAGCTCCAGAAATAAATTTAAAAAAACTATTGTTCCTGGCAATCTCCAGAAATAAAAACTATTGTGCCTGGCAAGCTCCAGAAATAAAAATTATTGTGCCTGGCAAGCTCCAGAAATAAAAACTATTGTTCCTGGCAAGCTCCAGAAATAAAAATTTTTTGTGCCTGGCAAGCTCCAGAAATAAAAACTATTGTTCCTGGCAAGCTCCAGAAATAAAAACTATTGTGCCTGGCAAGCTCCAGAAATAAATTTAAAAAAACTATTGTTCCTGGCAATCTCCAGAAATAAAAACTATTGTGCCTGGCAAGCTCCAGAAATAAAAATTGTTGTGCCTGGCAAGCTCCAGAAATAAAAAAAAAAAACTATTGTTCCTGGCAAGCTATTGTGACAAGAAGAATTTACAGCTTCAACATGAGATAAAATACCTAGATAGTTTGGCCACATGGCTTGGGTGGGGCAAGCCATGTTTGGCCAGATGATAAAAACAAAAGTACATTAATTACTATTTAAAAAACTGTCTATTGTCTGTATTTATCACTTTTTAGGGCGGTGTTGGGCAGGAAGTTCCCAGATTTAAGATCACCTGGCTAGTACAGTTGACACAAACTGTGCATCTGGGACAAATGACAACATAAAAAAATTTCCATTCCTTACAGAGGATCAAACTCAGGTGTCTTCCTGAGACCTCAGCACCTAACCACTCAGCCACTCCCTAAGTCAATAACAGGTTACACATTTTAAAACAAAGAAAGATTTACCCAGTGGTGTGACAGGCCCAACTTTAATCAAATCTGTCTGACAGCCGATGTGCTGCACTGAGTTGGCGTGCAGGCTACATACTTCAGTCAACAACTGCCATAAAAAGCCTGGGAAAATATTAATTCGCACAAATTATTTGCCAAATATGACAAAAACAAATAAATGGTAATAAGCATCATCATCTAATGCCGCCTTCTCCTTCTGTTATTTATCCCCTAGCGACAGAACCTCAACTAACTAATTTGTATATCAATCAAAGCGAGACGTAGAACTAATCTTCTTATTCTTCTTCACTTCTACTTTTACAACTTAGGGTGTCGAAGGCAGCAAAAGGTTCGGCTGCTTGCTCTTCTGTCTGACTCGACCACAGATGCATCATAATGTTTCTCTGATGTTATCTTTCCATCATGTTCTTGGTCTACCTCATTCTCTATGTCCTCTCCTGTTTTGTGTATGCCTAGTGTGATATGGCATCACAAGCCATTCTCTCCAGGTGGGCAAACCATTTAATCTCCCGTCTTTGTGTGTAATTTAGAACTGGTTCAGTGCCGACTTTTTATCTTATGACCTTATTCTTGAATTGATCTCTTTTGATGCAGATCTAGTCAGCTACTTAATACCACAATCAGAAATGACAAAATAATGTTGCAGCGAGAAAGCCTTTATCAGCAAAGAATATAAATGGACAATGATACAATTACAGAAAAAAAGAATTCTTGGTGTAGCTTACCCCCAAGATCAACCCTACCCTCATTTGCAACTTATGACAAGCTTTTTGGAGTATGGTGTTTCTTATTCTTCTTCTTCCTCGCATTTACCGGCTTTAAACTCTGGCAGAAAGCTCTGGTTGTTTGTCTACCTCTGGACTTTAGCCTTGTTCCAGAACCTGAGTGTTGCCTGCACATCCGTTTTACAAATCTGACTTATACGTATGTAGACTGTTCGTTCCTTGCCTCTTAGGCAGATGCACTCCAACTTCAAAAAAAGCCCCCAGTTAGTCGACTCTTATGACATGCTTGTTGGGGGGCAGTAGGTCTATTATTTTTTTCCCCCTCACAAGGAACCCACACAGGAATGTAGTGTTTCTATCTTTGCTTTTTCTAGAGACCCCAGAAAGAGACAGGCACTAGTGCCAGTAATGGTAAGATGGATCTCCAGCAGTTCTGTTTACAGCCTTAGTTATTCACTCTACTAGGTTGAATCTCAACCATAAAATATGTATTTTAAGGTATTTACCTAAAAAGCGGTGCAAACTGCGGTTGTGTAGCAGCTAGACACTCTCCCGCAGATTTGTGGGTTCAAATTCAGAGTTATTAAACCGCACTAGTAACCTATCCAGACCTTTCAAAAATGACCTTGCCTCCCTGATCGACACAGCCTTAAATGGGTACCAGGTAAAGACCTTGGAAGTAAAGGCGGCCGGCATGATGTAGACCACTCACCCATCGAGTGCCGGCTGGCCTATAAAATACAGGTCTAGCCCTTTATGCACAGTGCACATGAAGGCATAGAAAAGGGTCCTTTACTTACAAAGCTTGTTTGGACTAGCCTTCTTTTACCTTCTGCTCCTGTCATCTGGCGTAGGCACTTCGTAACGCCGGGGTGCCGGGTTCAATACCAGCTGCAGGCCTTGCGCTGGTTTCTATAGTGGTGTTGAGAAACCGACCGTCTAGAAAGCAATGGCAAACTACTAGACGTAAACTTGCCAAGAAAAACCACTACAGCCAAAAAAAACGATGGAGTTGGTTCTGCAACGTCCTGTAAAGGATACGCAACTAACTTTCCTGTCATCTGACCTTAACCCATGTAATTTCATTTTTATTTACCTATCTGTGAAATACTTGATCAAAGCCTAACTGCCAGAGGGGTTTTACTTAACCTCCAATATTAGGTACTTAAGTACTGACACCCACCTAAACATTAACGCATACACCCAAAATAAGCAAAACTACTGTCACACACATAACTTTCAGACACATTTCTAAATGCATGCACCCAGCATTGGACCTTTCTAGACACGAGATATTCTTAAAATTCCAATAATAAATAAACTAACCTCGTTTGCTGTCCGGATGAGACTCATCACTCTGATGAGCAAACACATAAGCATGTTAATTTACAACAACAACAACAAAAAGATACTGTTAACCTGTTAAAACAGGTACAAACAATATTAAAAATCGGCAGTTACTGATTATGTGAAACTGGATATTTCTTACTATGTAATGCTTGTCTTCTTCAGTACTCTAAGCCCTTGATGCTCATTGTCCTTATCCAACTCAATTCATCTCTGTTGTCCATTTAAATCCATCCCATTTCAAGCTTAGAAATTTGTTTTGTGATGAAAATGAGGTGGGAATGCCTGCCCCACGCTTCATTTCCCTACCTGGAGGAGCAGGGTGTCTTAGTCAGTTCTCTACCCTTTGACCTGCCCAGCTTTGGGAGCCCTGCTGGTATCTATGCTACCGCTAGGACAGCTTTTAAGGTCACTAAGAGGTAAGGGCTCCCACAATTGAAAAAGACACCTTCGGAGGGAAAGATAAACACTGAAAATGAACACTTATGTAACCTTGAAAACTATAATGATGTAATACAGTGGAACCTTGCTTAACGAGCATAATTCGTTCCAGAATCATACTCGTTTAGCAAAACACTCGTTATGCAAAAAAAAATTTCTCACATAAATTAATGTAAAATACAATAATGCGTTTCATGTCGGGAAAAAAACTCACAAAATGCTATGTATAACGTTTATTCAAAGAAAATTATATACATATTGTTAAGAAGAGTGAATCATCTTCATCTTTTCTTCAAACGCGGAAAGAATGCAAATTTAATTTGCACCAAAAAAAAATTCTAAATAATTATGATGCATAGCTAATTATTTGTTTTGCTAGAAAGATGTCCAGAGACATTTGTTTTTGCTGACGCTTCAAAATTTTGTGAAAATGTGACACAGCATTATCATTAAATAAATTTGCAGCGTGCATAGCCACTTCCTTATTAGGGTGATGCTTCTCAATGTAAGATGCAACAGTTTCCATGCTTTCAGCATTTCTCTTATTTCACCAGAAGATTGTTACTTTTCTGTTACCTCCTCCTCCTCCTCCTATGACAAACTTTCCTCCAAAACTTCTTGTTGTGAAACGCAATGCAACTATATAAGCTCTTCGGTGGTCAGCTCTTGGCTGTGCTCTTCCACCAGCTCTTTGATATCACTGTTATCCACCTACAATCCCATGATAGTGGTCAAAGACACAATCTCGTTGACTACAGGTTTCACAGATACTGTCTCGAACCCCTCAAAGTCACAAATCGACATTTTCCAAAACTCTTTGTGAGTGAGGTTGGTCGCTTCAGTCACCTGAAAACAATGCTCGAAGAGTGCTTTAGTGTAGAGCTTCTTAAAGTTAGAAATAACTTGCTGATCCATGGGCTGGAGTAACGGAGCGGTATTGGGACGCAGAAACTGGATCTTAATGAACTTAAATTATTCAGGGTGGCCATCCTGTAGGCCTGGAGGATTTATGTACATATATATCACAATATAACACAAGTATGAGAAAATGTGTGATCACAAGCGACACTACGATGCTACTGGAACGAGTGCTAAACACAGACTGATGTAACATGCGCACAATCCGGGACTTCCCCTCTCCTTGCCACTCGTTATGCGAAACGTCGCTCGTTAAGCAAGTCGTTCTTTTAAAATTTGTTTTGTTCGTTATGTGAATTACTCGTTATGAGAGGTGCTCGTTAAGCGAGGTTCTACTGTACTTGAAATATGTATATGCAAGATGTGATAAGACAGAAGCATCAGCACGAGAGGCCCCCCAAAAAAGCCAGATATGTAAAACTCAAGTCCTGCAACATGACTAAAGACTAGAAGTGAATGAACAACCAGGACTTTGTGCCAGTTTACAGCCAGAGGAAGAAGAAGGCATCCATACTGTGCGAGCTGGAAAATGAAATTTTCTCTTCTTCTTCTTAGCATTCACCACTGTAAACTCCTCTGGAAAATTCTTCACAACTTGAGTTTTTCCTACACATCTATTTTACAGATCTGGCTCATTTATATGCAGACTATTGGTTTCACACCTCTCAGGCATATGCACTCCAACTTTAAAAGAAACATCCTTAACTTGTCACTGAAAAGCAAAGCAAAGCAAGTGGAAAGTATGATGGTGGTAATGATGATGAAGAAATAATACCATTTAAAACAAAAAAACATCAACTCACCAATCTTTGGTAAAGTCTCGAGTGAGGACTGATGTTCAGCAGCTTCAAAAGATCGGCAGTATCAAACTTCTAGTATGTGAAAGGTAAAAAAAAAAATCATAACAACAGTGCCACAGAAACAAAACAAATAGTATACTGAAAATAAAAATTTAAAAAAAGTAAAGGACCTTTTTCACATTACTGGCACACAGAGTATATGGCTGTTTGACCCATACTGTTTATAGACCAACTGATGCTTAATAGCTGATGTCAGCATCATATCAACTGGCCTTACTTACTAGGACATTTCCTAATATTAATCAGAGACTGGGTAAACCTGGGAGCCTGTGTGTATTTTTTTTTTTAAGTTCTCACTATCAGAAGATTCAACAGGGAAGTGTGCTAGTCTTTACACTTCTAGTTGAGTGTTTTATTGTTTAAAAATGTGCTTTTACAGTCACTATAATTCCCCTTTTTAGCCTTTACATCACACATGGAGATAAAGGGTAACTCAAGGATATAACTTTTTAAGGCCCAAGGAAATGTATTAATTTAATCGTCTGCTCCGTTCAGATTCATTGATTACTCTCATCCATATATTTGTTGTTGTTTTTTTTAAATTCTCACTGCATATACATTGTTTTGTTTTTTTAAATTATTAGTGCCCCCAGTAATTTCTGGGTTCTTGACCTTAATTTCTTCCCAAGGGTTTCCCTGGCAAAATGGTTAAGTCAAATAAACCTATAAACGTGTATGTATTACTTGAATTAACAAGTACTACTTCTTCTTCTTCACCAGCTGTAAACTCCAGCGAAAGGTTCTGGTTGTTTGTGCACTTCTGGACTCGTCCAGTTCCAGAACCTGAGTGTTGCGTGCACATCCGTTTTATAGTTCTGACTCTTTCGTATGTAGACTGTTGGTTCCTTAGCTCTCAAGGAGATGCACTTCTACTTCGAAGAAAGCTCCCAATTAGTCCACTCATATGACATGCCTTTGGGTAGGCAGTAGGTTTATTCTTGTTTTCCCTATAATGGGGCCCTGGAACCCACACGGGGAACAAATAGTTATGACTCTTCTTCTACCATTCATCTCACATTTGAGTCAAGATCCTCAACTAAGCACTACAAAGCCCTTTCAGATTTGTTCATGATTAGCTGGATTTTGTAGCTAAGGATTCTACACGATTAAATTAAAGGGTTTCGCACCATCCTCCAGATGTCGTCTTTTATAACGTGCATAGAAGCTTATTTTTGCTTTGCTTATGAAATTTGGTAACACATGAGTGCTTATTCTTCTCTTGTCCTGTTCTGCCTTTCAGCATCAGGTTTTTAAGAGGCATCAGGTATGAGCATTAGTATGTGCAACATTGACGCTGCCATTAACAGCCTCAGGTATTCCATCTATCCATCGCGTGCGTGGTCAACCCCTAGATCTGCTTCCATTGTGTCTAAGTGACATAGCTCTCTGTGGTGAACTATCTGATGGTAGTCTTGTCACATGTCCGAACCATCTGCCCTGTTGTTTCTTGGTGTTCTTTAGATTAGTCAACAGGTCAAAGTCATGACACAAGCGTTTAAACCCATAAGTGCTCCAATCTACTTCTAACTCAAGTAAATTGTTGCTGTAATTGTTATTCAACATTTGCTTCGTTAATATAAATTTCTGTAACCTATGGTGCCATTTCAATGGGTTGAAATGAATTCTGTCCGTATTCCATAGTTGTGGATTTCAAGCTGTACGATAGACATGGCCAATAAGACACCTTTTTTGGGGGGTGCCTAGTTGACCATGTTCTTTAGTGCACTTGCATTCATGGCGAGGCGCAGACGCCGTCTGGAGGTGACAGGTTCAATTCCCGGCACTGTAACTATAGCTTTCGATTTTTATGTTGTCTAGTGTGTTCTTTTATCTTTCTACTTCTTTCTATGAGTGCCGATCAATACACTTTCTGTTATTCGATTAATTCATAATATTCTAACTCAAGCCTCAGTCTGAAGAATCTCAGCGCAGTGCATGAACTCCACTGCACCAGCAAAGATCCTTAAATACTTTATGGGTAGATTTTTAACTCCAAATTTTGCCCAGGCAGCGCCATTAGGCTACATTTTTCGATTTCCAACTACCAAGGTATTTTGTACGTGTGCAACAATACACACAGGCGTCCGGTCTTACTACTCAGAGACCAGGGGAAATTACTAGAAGTCAACGTAAAAAACCCAGCCTTTAACGTGGCTTGAACTGGGACCTCCAGCACTCGAGGTGGATGCCATACCTCGAGACCACGCAGCCCCCCTCTTCTATAGTAAGTACTAGTACCATCCATACTTGTTTCCTGATATCGTCTTTTGTGACCCTGTCTCTTCTAGTTTTATTTAGGATTCACCATAGGCATTTAATTTTTGTTTCGATTAGGATTAAGAAAAGTAACGTAAAGGTACAATTTTTACACCACTGGCACACTAGGCATCTATTTTTGTGGTGGGTGATGTGGTCAACAAAACAGCAGCTGCATTTATTTTCTAGGACTTTACCCACTCTTGTTTGGGTCAATTGGCAGCAAAGCTACTTAGGATAGTATGAGTTGAATAATTTATAACTGAGCCTCAAAAGGATAATAATTCAAGCAAATTTACTGACCTTGTCTTGGTTGAGTCCACATTCCGGCAGGAAAACACTGAGTGTGTACTCGTATTTACAGGCACGAAGGTGATTGGCCACAAGGCTGTTGGAAGCACGATGTAAGAGAGAACCACCCTCAGGGACATTCAGGTCTTTTAAGGTTAAGGGTCCTCGTACACTCTGCTGAAGCTCGGTTACTAAACTGTTACGTAGTTGCGACTGTGTGAAAGTAATGAATATACATATGTAACCTTTTTAACATATATGTGTAACTTTTTAACATGTATGTGTAACTTTGGACTCATCATTTTTAAATACAAACTGACACTCGGTTGGTGATGTGTTCAGCATCACGCTGGCTTTCTCTTTTTTTCCTCAGGATATGACCTCACATTTATATAAGGCTAGGGTGACCTGGGAGCTAAGGACAAATTTTTTGTTGGGGGGAGGGGGTAGGGGGGGGGGGGGGTTGGGAGAGGTACATCCAACTTAATATGGATTTAAACCCAAGCCCGTTAGCATCGTGAGTGCCTCACCATTAAACTATCACAGCTCCCTATGTGTAACTTAGATATTATAACCAATATCATCAGGTTGTTAATCCTAGAACTAATGATATGATGTCTCTTTTCCACTCCACTGTCTATGGTTCTTGTTATTATATGTTAGTCAGCCCTAAGAGTGCTTGCTGTTCAACAATATTAATTCTGGATTTTTGCACACTTTTTCTTTCCCTTACAGTCCCCTCACTGCATTATGGTTTTTAGCCATTATCTTTGCCCTCAGCCTTCTGCCTATGTATTGCCAATAATTCCTTAACCCTACCAGACTGCTGACCCGATTTTTCTGGAATTTCTTAACCTGATGCTATACCGCAGTCCCTAATTTTCGGCAATTTGCATACATACTAAAAATAACTAGCCAATCGTAACCAGACTTCGTGGATAGTCTTCCCAGATGTCCGCCTGTACATGTTTAGATTAAATTTGTGTTATTTTATGTGAAAAATTCACAATGAAACGAGCGGCTGATGAACCAGGCACTTCAACAAGAAAGTAAAGTAGGTCTAGGCGATCAAAATGTGATCGATACTTTGGTTTATTCAGACTCTGCGGAGTCATAATGTCATGAAAAATATGTTCACAGTCGAAGTGAACATTTAGTGAGAGCTCGAATGATGAGGAAAATCTTGTTAATTTTACATCTAGAAATAGATCGATAGTAGGAGAAGAGGGGGGGGGGGGGGGGGGGGGGGGGGGGGGGGGGGGGGGGGGGTGGGTGGGTGGGTGAAGTGTCCCTCAAACAGCAACATCTGGTGTTCACTTTTGTGAAACAATCCTGATTCTCCTGAGTGAACTGGCACACAAAGGTGAAATATTGGCGCTAGATAAAAGGTAAGCCTATTCTCTACAATGTCTCCAAGTTTCATCTTATTCTAGCCACTTGTTTGAATGTAACTAATATTTTTGTATATCATGTTGGTTTTTCAGGATTAATGCCCAGAAGCTCAGGTATAGGGGGCAGTTAGGTTCAGGGCTTCAGGTCTGGTAGGGTTAAACAAATGAAGATGCAAAAAAAGAATACTAGAAAGAACGCAAAAAGAATAATAGCAGAAGGCATGGTATTAGGAAAGAAGAGCTAGGGTTAAGATCACCTGCACAATGATCAGCACAGGATATACATGACACCTTGAATAGGAAACTGCACGAGGCATGAGATCTGGCGAGAGACAGATTGTGATGTGTTTCAGGCAGACTGGGATGAGAGTGACGTTTTACAAAGGACCTGCTACATGATGATGATCTAAATGAACTCAACACAAACTATGAAAAGGTAGCTGAAGGAAGTAAAAAAGAAAATGCTAACAGGGACAACCAAAATATTTATTAATATTGATCCAAGATTATGCCAACTCTGACACTGCACTCTGACATGCAGCAGCCAACATTATTTTTGCAACAACAGCTAAACAATTAAAATGTGTGCCAACTCCACAGTGGAGTTTTACTGCAGTGGATATATGCATCCATTGTTGACTTTAGAGATATTATTGTCGTGGTGAAGCCCCAGTCTCCTCCATTTACTTATTTATTTAGCGACTACGGTGTTCGCAATTTGCCGTCTATTGGCAATTTCCGTTACCATGGAAACCGTTCGAAACTTGTTTGGGAAATGTCGGCTGGTTTCGGGATGGGTCCCAATCTCTCATGAAATTTTGCGATTGGTGTGGTTTTCACCAGTATAAATAGCTGAAAACGGCGGGAACGAACCCGATTAACAGCGCATGTCTTCGACAGCCGGAAGTCCTCTGTTTTTCTGTTACATCAGTTTTATTAAAAATAGCGATAAGTATTCAAGGTTGGCTTTAGGCTTTAACATTACTAGTACTGGTAATGCTGGTTATAATTGAATTCTCCGTCCAATTTTACATTTGTATATCAAATTTTTTTCTTATCAGTGGCTTTTTAGATTTACAGTAACATTTTTCAGGCAATCGCTATTATGTGGCTGTGTCTCATTGTCTGCCATCTTGTCCAATGCAAACAAAGCCAAAACGATAAGTGCGCAGTTTGGTTGCGCAGAGAAAACTTCTTGTTTCACAGACGCAAGTTTTCAACAGCTGTTTTTTACATCTCATCTCCACAAAAACCTACATATCTCAGCTCAGAAATAACATACAAGCCTAAATGAGGTACCATTGGAAAGAGATTGTTTACAGCTAGGTTCTCCTAGCAGATTTGGCCGGCAGGTAGGTCGGCTTCGGTCGGCGTAGTGGGAGTTCTTTCCCTTGGCCGCACTCACAACAACGAGCGGAAAAAGTCACGACTCAAACACGACAGTGAGGTCGACATCAGGGCTGCCAATGCTTGGTTATGTCCCCCAGATCTGGGTTTTTCTTTTGACGCTGCGGGAAAATCTGGGGGGGGGGGGGGTTTCTGTGTGTCTGTCTGTGGGTGTTTTGCCGATCTGTAAGCTTTAATGACCAATAAATTTGCGTGGTTAGGGGTTGGGTTAGGGTTAGCGGTAGGATTAGGGTTTGGTTTAGGGGTAGGGTTAGGGTTAGGATTAGGGGTAGCGTTAGGGTTACGGTTGGGGTTAGGGGTAGCGTTAGGGTTAGGGGTTAGGGTTAGAGGTAGAGTTAGGGGTTAGGGGTAGGGTTAGGGTTAGGTGTAGCGTTAGATGTGACAATTGTGACAGTCGCATGCACGCGCAAACAGTCGACGGATGGTGGATGCTACTGACACTGACAATTCGCCACCGATTGGGCACCAGCCGCGCGCTAATGCCGTCATATTTGTCACACTTCCAGTGGCGCCACTCCCACAAACATCAGATTGTCGGCCAGTATTTCAACCTCTTACGTGAAAATTTTCACATCTAACCCTAACCCTACCCCTAACCCCTAACCCTACTGCTAACCCTAACCCTACCCCTAACCCTAAGCAACCCTACACGCAACCGTATGATGATGATAGACACCCTACGCAGCCCTACGCGCAACCGTATGATGATAGGTAACCCAAGACGCAACCGTACGCAACCCTACACGCACCCGGATGATGATAGGTAAGTATGTCATTTGATTCACGACTCTTTCCGCGACTTGTTTTGAATGTGGCGAAGGGACATAACTCCCATAACTCCCACTAAGCCGGCCGACGCCGTCTACCTTGCTGGCCAAATCTGCTAGGAGAGCCTACAGCTATCTAACTGTGCTGGTTTTATTGGTGTAGAGGGCATTTTGAAAATTTGACTAAAGTATCTAATTTATTTAATTTTATTATTTATTACTTTGGCAGTGTGACACAAGTGAAAACTACAATTAGGTATGCTAATCAAGAAGGTGACCCACTTTAAAACGAAAGTAGAGATCGCTTAGTTACAAGATGGCGTCGGTGGTCCACGAAAAATGGCTCCTTTGCGTATCAGTTACTTTGAAAACCCGTCGCTCAATACTGGCTGTTCTGAATCGATTACATGGGCTCAAAGTTATTCAGAAGAGGTCGCTCTACAAAACGACACCTAACTTACGTAGCGATCTTTGTTCAGCCAAGTAAATTTCACTATTTGCCATGCGGGAATTAAATTTCTTTAATATCTCCTTTTTAAAGTGAATATAAATATTTTTAGTTGACATTGTTGGATTCTGTGTCCATTTTTACATAAAGGTGGGTAGTTTTGTTGGAATCTGTACAGGACGAAGTTGAAAGTTTGAATTTGTTCCCAATCGTGTCTTGAGAGCTAAATCGGAGATGTTTCAAAATGGCCGCCACGTGGTCTAAACGAACTGATTGATTAATATCTAGTTATTTATAAAAACAGTAAAAAAATAATGCAAGTTTTATTTCTATTAATCATTTAACTGTTTTTAACTTTCATTTGACATCAGTTTTAATAGTTTTAAACAGCTGAAAATAATGTTTTAGCACGTTTTTGACATGGACCATTTGGCTAGGGTATTTTGAGTGTTGAAAATGGACACAGACATTGGTTTGAACATTTTTTATTATACTTTAAATTCACATTAAAGTAGTTTTTAAATCATTTTTGGAATCTTTAGCCATTATAGAATTTTTTAAGCCATAACCTATCATTGGGCATGAAGGACCTTACCTGTTTAAGGCCTTTTTACCTGCTGACCCCACTCTCCGCTCCCAGATTAACATTTAAAAAATGTCTGCCATATATTTCTGCACTACGATTTTGTGGTGCATTTTTATTGTCCTAGATAGTATAACAAGTACTATTTATGACTGATACTATGTATAAGAATTAAAATTGTAGTTTTTACTTCCTTAGATTTTAGATATGCTTATTTAGAAAGTTGATGATTAATGAAATTAATAATAAAATATAATTTGTTTAACTGCATAAGTTTACTTACTTACAGCTAGGGCTACTTACAACTTATGATTAATAATATTTGATCATTTTTTTATATATACTAATATATACTAGCCAGCAAACAGATCATGTGGGACATAGATACTTAAAAAAAATAAAATGTTATTTTTCCTCTTACCTTTTATGAAATCCTGCTCCATGAAAACACAACATAAATCCAAAGCGAATCATAAAGGAGCTTATTTAATAATTTAATTAATTTTACTCCATGAAAAATTTAAATATAGCACTGAATCACAAATCGGGCGGTTACCTTAGATTATTTTGAACAAGTAAATAAAATATTGAGCTGTGACTAGTTAAGAAGAAGAGGGGAACACTATGGTGAAATGTCCTCATCATCAATAAAATGAAAGAATAATTCGCAAAGACTGAAAAAAGGATTATGTTAAATCAGTAAGAGGGGCTCTCATTTTCACTTGGTTATAAAACAATATGGGGGACTCCGCAGCAAAGTGGTCAAGCCATTAACCTCGCGCTCAGAAGGTTGCGGTACGTTCACTGCGTTGTTCAACTAAAAAATGAATTTTTTTGGTTAGCGGAGACCTCTGAGGGCTGTTGCTGGAGCTACGGTATTCAGGCTTCATGCTAAGCTCTTAGCATGCGCTAGCCGTTCAGTTATGTGGAGAAAGACCAAGCCATACTAAACCAGTAACGATGCAATGAAGTCGATCCACTTGCTATTGAACATTTTTTAAACAGTGGAATAAAGCAAATTTCGGTCAGATGTATGCACACACACACAAGTGACAGTGCGAGAAAAAGCATTATTCAACAAACAGAAAGAGATGCATCATAGCAGGAAGAATAGTTACAAAAGTATATATATATATATATATATATATATATATATATATACATATAAATATATATATTTTACAGTATACGTCTTGCAAGACTCACTGAATAATAATAATAAATTCATAAGGTATTTAATTAATACTGATAAACTGACTCATTTTTATGTTATTTAGGTTTGAATCACATCATATTTTTAAAAAGGCAACAACTTTATTCAGAGCCTGCTGTCCTGAAAGCAATGACATATGGTTGCTAAGGGGTTCAGCCAAAAACTTTAGAGTTATTGACATTAAACATGATAAATTTAGGTCCAGTTTTCACTTGGGAACATGCCGCCATCTTGTTTCTGTGTTTTCCATTATAATTTTTTTTGGGGCACTTTCTGCCACTGAAATGTGATTATCTCCGCTTAGAATTGACATACAGACTTCATTGAGGTACCGTTGGACTCAGTTTTTCAACCTCTATTCAGCTGTCTTTGTTTAAAAGTAAAAAACCTAAAAATAAAAATTTTGACTAAAATCCCTACAACAATTTAAATTATACAATGCCCACCTTTATGGAATCCACAAGCCCGCGGTTTCGCAAACTGTGGTACAGTCTGTTTCTCAGCTCTTCTGCAGACAGATACTCTGGCGCCTGATCAGCCATTTGACCAAATAGGTGAGGAAATACTTTTAGATGCAAATTAACCGAACTTCACAAGTATTTAAACCAGTACATGAAACAGATAATCATCTCAAGTTCGAGAAGCTGGTTACGTCTGCAACAAAATCATGTTCAGTCTGGCGTCCATAACAATGATCCTTTTAAAAAACAGGAATCGGCGAGCAGCGAAACAATATTTCACATCATCATCATCATGCACCATACGTAGGCGGTGGATCGTTCACCAATTCACAAATCAGATAAGTTATATTATGCCATCCGCTTTACGGGGTTAAGTCACACAGGCAGATGCACTGCCACGAAGAAGACATCAGGTAGGCAAAGCACTCTTCCCCAACCACACCTTCATCACCACCTAGGCGCACACAAACAAAATTTATCGGGACTCCAATAAATTAAGAAAACATTGAGTTTCTTTCAGGCAGACCGTGATGAGAGTGACGTTCTGCAACGAACCTGCTATATGATGATGATGACAGTCTTTTTCGGTATGTGAGTAGATCTATTAGCTATCCCTATGGTCGTCGCTGAAGCTACAGAGTGTCGTTATTTGTGTGTGCGATCCTCTGGGCAAACAATTGGACACTGCTGAGACGGTCCGAACCATAGGATATAATCAATGAAACTCACTGTACCAACTCACCTTTAAAATAATGTAGAAAATCTATTTCACCTTATACATAAAGTAGAATACATGCACTAAACCTAAAAGATGTTATATGAAACAAGATGGCCCCTAATGGGAAGATGTATTGATGCCATTAAAGGCATTCTATATTCACACGACACTGAATAACAGTTGGAACACAAAAAGCTTTGGGCCGTAAACTATTCCTCCTGACGTCGCTAAACTCCAGTAGCAAAAATTGATCATGATAACGATTATGATAAAGATGATGATGATAAATATGGCTGTGAGAAGAAGAAGAAGAAGATGATGATGACGACAATAAACTGTCAAGAGGCTAGATTTGGCCAGAAACGGCTAAATTGGCAGCCTTAACGATATAACTGCCGTCCGTCTGCTGACTTTGCTCCCGTCTGTAACAGAAACATGTCCCTCGCCTGGTAGCAGTGGAGAGGAAAAGTAGACACGGACTGTATGTCACATCCTTGATCAACTGATAGTTGGTGGGTAAACGCGGTAACCATCAGCTGTACACGTTGCAGCCAAGGGATTACATCACTGTAAACAGTCCGAATATCGTTTCTGTTGTCGAGCAATGGCAGAGGAGCGGGTTATTCGCGTTGGGACGAGAAAAAGTCAAGTAAGAAAGCGAAGTATTTGAATTATTACGATGTTTTCTATTTCTTCTTCTCGTTCACCGGCTGTAAACTTCGTCCGAAAGTTCTGGGTTTTCATCCGCTTCTGGATGTTATTTTTGCGTTCATATCCTTTTTACGGATCTGGCTTATTTATTTGTATGCAGACTGTCAATTCCTCGCGTCTTATGAAGATGCACTCTGAAGTAAACACCCCTAATTATTTGACTTTTATGACATGCCTGCTGTAGGGGTGGAGGGCAGACAGCAGGTCTATTCTCTCCCCCCCCCCCCCCGCCAACCACACACACACGCATAATGGGGAATTGTTACTATTTAATATTAAATGATCAATATGTGTAATGCCGCAGGTACAGAAGATCATCAGCCCCCCCCCCCCCTCCGCCCCACACACAAACATCTATGTTTTTTAGTTTGACACTATTCAACATCGAGTGCTTGTGGACTACCATGAATAGTCCTGCATCTCCACATCCTGAGATCCACATCAACATGCACCTATAGTACTAGTAATATATTTGCAGGTTTCTTTATAACGGTAAATAAAAGGACCCATTACATGTTGTTATGCAGATAGTGCTAGGCCTGCAGTTTTAACTCTTTGAGTCCCAAGGGGTTTAGCATCAGAGGTCCAAGGGGTAGTCAAAAGAGATGTAAAATAGGCCCATCTTGCGTTTATTGGGTCTGGCTATCCTCAAAATAACGGGCACATATTATGGCGGCCAAAAACAGGGCCTCAGTCACGTGTCAATTGCACACTTCCGGCTACCTAATTTGCGGTTTTCAGGCGACTACCGCCACCGCCAAGAGTATCCCCCACGCCGCTCATGTGGTATGGATTGGGACTAAACTAGATGGCTGGGACTCACGAGCAAAGCTGCAGGAAATGCGGAAGCTGCTGCTCGTGAGTCCCAGCCATCTGGTTCATGCGGAAGCTGCTGTTCGTGAGTCCCAGCCATCTAGTTTAGCTCCAATCCATGTAGCGTGAGCAGCGTGGGGATACTTTCGGCGGTGGCGGTAGCCGCCGGAAAACCGCAAATTAAGTCACCGGAAGTGCGCATTTGACACGTGACTGAGGCTCTCTTAGGGTGTTTTTGCGACCGCTATATTTTATGCCCGTTATTCAGAGGATAGCCTTGGGTCTCTAGGTAGGAACCTTTGAACGTATGATACGCTCCTTGGGACTCAAAGAGTTAAAGACTATTAGCGTCCTGTGGGTGACATGGTCAGGACTGTTACTGTCAGTAATTTCAGTCGCAGTTCGAACTTCATGGCAAATAGGCCACCCCATAATTGCCACAAAAACCACATAAAATACCTACCACTGTCCTTTGTGAAAAGTCAGACAGATGGCAGACCTGGCAAAATCCAAACAGCTTGCACATGCATTAAATGTATAAGCCAGCCACCAGAGATACCAACAGTCTGTTATCAGAATTGTAACACATAGTTAATGCAAGAATGTCATGAGATACCATAAGTCTGCACATGGTAGTTCTAATGTTCACAGCTTTGGAATTTTCCTCCATATGTAGACTAAAATGATATAACACTGTGTCAAGCAACTGAGTTGAGTGCATAGCATAACACTGAGCTGTGGATTTCATTTGGAATGCTTTTGGCCTGTGCCAAAAGTGTTTTTTTGTGTGTCTATGTGTGTGTGATGCAGATTCAGAAAATGGTAAACTTTATTTGGAATACTTTTTGACTGCACACAGTGTGGTTTGTGTTGTGAACTGCAGATCCATAAAATGGCGAGTAGCCTGTTGGCAGAGAACTGGGGATGCCTTATGCAATTAATTGCTTGATTTGATTTGATTTGATTCATGAACCGACATCACAGCACTCGGGGCATTCCCATAAGCACTCCGTCCCCATCTTCAGCAGCCAGCGAAGAGTTCCGTTACTAATGGTGCCAGTAGCTTTCTGATTAAACGTCCATCTTGCCTTTCCTCTGAGCCTCGAGCTTCTGCCAGAACCTCTCGTCACCCCCAACTGCATCAATCTCACCAGACTGTGGTGAACCATCTGCTCCTCTCAATTGTACACGCTCTCCCACAAGGCACTAACCACGTCTGCCCTATCATGTATCAGTATTCCACTGTTGTGCAGAGCCAGCCAGTCTGTCCGCCTGTTCATTTCCCAACACACCGGCGTGACCCGGTGAAAAAATCCAGATAATACTCCTCACTCGTGTCCTCCGCAGCGAAGCATGCCACTCTGCATGAAGCATACCTGTCCTGATCTTCCTCAGCATGCTTTCTGAATCAGTTACAATCATGATGTGTGTGTGTGTCGTGTTCTCTAGCCAGCGGAAAGCTGCAGTGATTGCCTCCACCTCCATTCTTAAGCTTGATATTGTGGTATCATATGCTAGACTCTCCTGCACCAAACGTCGACCATTAACTTTTGCTAAGAAGCCCCAAGCACTTCTTTTGCCTATTGACACTGAACCGTCTGTAAATGATCAAATCCTCTGAGCGAGCATTATCTTGAATTAATTGCTGAATTTCCACCTCTGTGGCACCTGCTGGCCAGTCTCTGCATTCCTGGCTCAGCGTGATTATGACTCTACACAGGTCTGACTGCTCAAGTGGCACTTTGACCCACTCCTCTCCTCGCCTAATGTTCTCAAGGATGCAAAGCTTTTTGATTGTGTCTTCTGCCTGAGCCATCCATGACCTCCCTCTTATCAGCCGCTGACCCTTAACTGCACCCAGAGCTTCATGCATAGGGTGGTCTGTGTCTGCAGTTACCCTGAGATATGACTTCGCCTGCAGCACCTTGTGCCTAGCTGCAACCGTCGGCAAACCAAGGATGTATTGCATACACACCACTGGGGTGTCTCTGGTACAACCCAGATTGACCCGCATAGCCGCGTTCTGTATGCGCTCTAGTTTGTCCATCTGTCTCTTTGAGACGGTAAGCAGTCCCAGGCCATAATCCACCACTGACAGGATCAAGTGCTGATATAGTGTGAAAAGCATTCTCTGCTCTATGTCAATTGCAGCCATAGTCTTAAGTGCACTAAGTCCTTTTTGGCATCTCGTCACAACACTATCCACATGGTCCTTAATTGACAGGCTCCTGTCAAATGTAATTCCTAGATACTTCAGTTTGCTCTCTCTGTTGACGTCTCTACCATCTATCGTGAGACTTGAGACATTAGTTTTAATGATTCTGTTGTCCAGAGAACACCACAAAACAGACGCCTTTTCCGGGTGGACGACAGCCCTCATTTCTGTACACCACTCAGTCACTTTGTCTACTGTCGCTTGTAGCTCCCGAGCTGTTTGTTCCCTCTCTTCCCCCTGCCTATATTCAAGTATATCATCCGCAAAAGTCAGTATCCTTCCAACTCCTGGTGCTTCTAGGCTTGCAATTTTGCTCGTATACACGTTGAAGAGTACAGGCGAGATGGCGGATCCCTGGGGCCAATTAATTGCATGTGCATCTACTGATCTATTGTAATTGTTGCTTCGATTGATGATGAAATGCATTTCTAGTGTCAGACTGTGTGTTGGCACTTCTGACGTCTGCCTTAAGCATATATTGTGTGTATGCTATTGGATTTGCTGAGACTGCAGTCTATGTCACAAGGAACATTGATGAGCATTCTGTATTGTTTTTGTTGGCACAGGAATGGAGCAACCAAGGGGTAACCCATTTGCTGTGAAGTTGGAACTGTGGGTAGCGATTTTAGAAGTCAAACCAAGCATGTTATTTACGATTCTTCTCCTTCTTTTTTTGCTCTGAATCCCCCAGTGGGTGAGAGGCTCCTAACAAGCGCAGTTAAAGCCCACCTATTCTTTGTGCACAAATTAATCCGTTGTCTTGAATAATTTATCAGTGAAACTGAAAAATTATGTGCATGGGCTCACGGGTGCAGGAACCTGGGAACTCAGGCCCCAGGTGCCCTTCTCTTACTGAAAAGTTATTGGGCAGTATATATATATCATCATCATAAACCACTTCTGCCGTTGAGCGTCGTGGGAAGGAATAAATTGCGATCCAGTGCACGTTGGCTGCCACTGGCTATTGTCATGCAGTGAAGGCGTAGAGGGTCTTTAATGTTGTCAATCCATGTTTTCCGCGGCCGTCCTCTTGCTCTTGTAATTGATCTTCTGAGATGTAGTGCTTGTGATGGTATTTGATCTTGCAGCATTCTAACAAGATAGCCAAACCACTTGCTCTGCTGATTATCTATATATAATATTATTCGATTTAACTTGCCAGGATATTGGCTGTAAAATGGTTAATAAAGATACTTAACCAGGCATGCCAAGAGGGAAAAGTATCAGAAGACTGAAAAAGGTCTGTGATTGTGCCAGTAGAGAAAAACAAGGACAGCAATAAAGAATATAGTCAATACATGTACAAAGGCTCTTCTTAGCCATGTAGAAAAACTTTAGGCAAGAATTTTAGAACAAAGAGTAAGATATAAAGTGGAACCATCCTTAAATAATTCAGTTTGGTTTTAGAAAAGGAAATCGGTGCACCAACGTTATTTTTACTTTCAGACAGACGAATGAGAAAACCATAGAGTACAACAATGAACTAAACGAGGATTTTATTGATCAAGAAAAAGCCTTCAGCCGAGTAAACCAAGAGAAGTTGTAGTCATTGCTTGAAGAGTATGGTGTAACTAGACAATTGTTAGACAACATCATAGCTATGTAACACTTTTTCTTATTTGTTCACCGGCTGTAAGCTGCGGCAACAAGTCTTGGTTGTTCATCCATTTGAACTTTGGCTTTGTGTCAGAGCCAGAGCTTTGCATGTAAATCCATTTTACTGGCTTATCTGTGTGCAGTTGCTTGTTCCTTGCCACTCGTGCAGATGCACTCCGACTTCAGTGAAAATCCACATTTATTAGACTCTTACATGCTTGTTGGGGGGGGGGGGGGGGGGGGGGGGGCAGTGGACCCACACTGGGAACTATGTATCACACAGCCGATTGTGCTGTAAGAACAACTATAGGATGACAAACTGATTCCAAGTTTCCTTTTGGGGTACGATAAGGGTGTATACTATCACTGCTCTTCTTTTTTATCTATATGGATAAGAGGCTTAAAGAAACAGTTCCACAGCAGGAGGATATAGATGAGCTGATATTTGCATATGATCGTGACCTGTTAAAACAAAACACCCTCAAAATCTGTTGCAAGAAATATAATATGAAAATAAATACTGAAAAACAGAAATAATGACAGTAAATTGAACACCAGTTTTATAAATCATCACTGTTTAAGGTGAGGCATTAAAACAAGCTAAGGAGTTGAATACCTAGGCAGTGTATTAACTCAGGATGAAGGATTGGACAGAAAAAAAGAAAACAGAATATGGAAAGCCAACAACATAAATTACCAAACAGGTAGGCGTCAAAATATCAACATGCACACACACACAAAATCAGCTGATAAATGTGCTATTTATTCCAGCTTTGTGCTATCAATGCCAGACATTGAAGTCCTAAATAAATAAACCGCAAAATCACAACTTAAGATGAGATATATAAGAAATATAGATGGAAAAACAAGAAGAGACAGTCACCAGTGAAGAAATAAGAACAATGGTAGGCACATATAATAAAGTGACTTCATAGAACAATGGTAGGCATGTACCATAATGTGACTTCATAGAACAATGGTAGGCACATACCGTAAAGATACTTCTTAGAACCTAGTCAGAATGGAACAAAATCAGCCTTCAGCTAGAGCTTACTACATGAGATCAGCAGGCTATAAGTCAAGAGGCTGACAAAGAAAAGATGGGTGCAGGGAGTAAAAGTCACACTACAGAAACAATATGTCATTTACACAAGCTCCGCAACTAATGAAAGAACTACATCTAACTCCTATCTGTGATGCTTTACAGCATAAGCAGTAGAATAAAAGAAAAAAGAAAGAAGAACAAAGCTTACATCTCAAGCCCATCCCAGAAAAATTATAGTATAAGTCAGTCAGTCCCTTAACTCTTTAACTCCCAAAGAACACACCATGCGTGACTGCATTTACTCATATGCACCAGACAATATAATATTATGCTTGTACATTTTATGTTTAGACAGGACATAGTAAACCCAACAACACACAAGACTCCAAATAGACTGTGTCTATCTCCTGTGGATGTAGTATACCCATGCTTTTGTTGCTGTCATTTTTACCTCATTTAGACATCAGCAATGACTTAACATATTAACAAAAAGCTGATATAATTCACAGCTTGCCCTCATTCAGACTAACGCTGTCATAAGAATGTTAAAGACCTTGGATCCAACTCTAAGATTTGAAACAGGTGAGTACTGAAATTATCCTAGAATTATTACTAAAAAAACAATGATCATTCAATAAATCAAGGCAGTGTTTCTCCATAAATTTGAACAAGCTAGTCACAAACAATAGATTGCACAATGTATTGCCTGGTAAATTTCATTAATTCATTCATTTTCATGTTGTGCCATTGTATGTCACAAAGGGCCAACAGTCAATTTCTCCATTTTGTTCTAGTCTGAGCAATCACTTCTATATCATGGATAGAATCCAGCCCAGCACCTTTGCCCTCTCTCCTCGCTATTTACTTTAGGGTTTCTCTTGGATGTCCTTGTTTTTTTTAGTCCCTCTGTTTCCCATTTCAGTGCCTGTTTGGCGATTCTCTGTTCATCTCTTTTTTAGGATGTGTCCAGTCTACCACCATCTTCTCTGTCTTACAACTGTTGTTACTTGTGGTAGCCTGGTATGTTTCACTGTATCTGATTTTGTACATACACAGTTAGGATTCAAAAGGAAAAGCTGATCACACATCAGAAATTGCTGGGGACTGACAGACTGAACTGCTGTGGTGGTGAAGTGGTTAGTAAATTTGCCCATTAACACAATGGTCTTGGTTTCAGTCCCCAGTTGAGCCAGGATCTGTTTCAGACAAGAATGATTCTAGAACTGTCCCAGCCTCATACCATGGACATGAAGACTCTTGGAAGACCAAGGCCATATCATTTTACATCTACAGTTCTGTTGCAAAACTCATATTCTCTGTATGTGCTACTGATGTGTAAATAGATTCATAACATCATAAAAATGGACATACTGAAATCAGTTACTGTATTTATAACATTATAAATGTAAACAGGAGTACAACAAAATATAGTATTTATCCTAATTTTTACTTTTAAAGTGGTACTTATGTTTCACTGGGAGCTATGGTGACGTAGTGGCCAGACACTTGCCTTTGGGCCCATAGGTCTTATCTTTGAATCTGCATCGAGTGGTTTAAAAAAAAAAAAAAACATTAGCTGCAGTGTCAACCCAGCATAAAATAGGTGCCAGGTAAAGTCCTGGGAAATAAAGATGGCCAACGTAATGATGGCCACATTGCTGATTGGGCTATCAAGATACACCCATCAAGTGTTGATTGGTCAACAGAGATGAAAATCTGGCATCAAACTCGGTGCATCACTAGCATGAACATGGTCTTTTAATGGGTATATTTGTTTTTTTGTTTTTTTTTTAAATATTATGGACAGGCATTTACTATTTGAAGACTTAGTATTCTTTGTTTTATTTATTCCAGTACCAATGACTACAGTTGGTGATCGTATTTTGGATTCAGCTTTGTCAAAAGTAGGTTTTAGTGAGTGTTTTCCATGTTTTTTTTTTTTCAAAATGTTTCTTTCTATTTGTTTCAATTTCTTTTCCACCTGGCTTTTTACACAGAAATTTTGATGCCATAGTTTTCCATTAATCATTAAGGAAGCCAGGTGACCGTGTCATGGGGGGGGGGGGGGGGGGGGGGTCAAGAATGAGTCATATAAATTGTTTTAGACTTAAAGAAATTTATCCAGGTTAATTCTTTGCTGAATTTATATGTTTACTGATTATTCATCTTATTCTACATATATTTTAATATTATTTTAGTCCATAACTTTTTTTACGGTTTTGTGTGTGACATGTGTACAAATGTTGTTTTCATTTTATTTTTTTCTGAATGATTTTTTCTGGAATGTCCAAAAAACAGGTCATTGTCTTTACTTTGTCTAGGTCATTAGGTCAAACAAGTTAAAGCCGTCTGACCTGCTCCAACCTGTCTAGACACAGTTTTCAGATGAAAGTCTTCTTCTTCTTCTTTTTAACATTCACCTACTGTAAACTTGCACGGAAAGTTCCAGAACTTGAGTTTTGCACGCACATCTGTTTTACAGATCTGGCTTACTTGTATGCAGTTGATTGCTACCATCTCAGGCAGATGCACTTTGATTCTGAATGAATAATAAAATATTAAAATAATAATAATAAAAATGATGCTAGATTTTATATTTTTTTCAATCAGATCTTCTAGCACTCTGTAGGTGATGTGGTCAATATCACACTGGGTGTCCTAACTTCCCAGGACATAGCTGGGTACCTGTTTTAGGCTGGGTCAGCGTGAGAGACAAGTCTTTAGGAAAATAAATCCTGACTGATTTAACCCTACACCTTTGGGCTGACAGACAGGCATTTAGCCACTTTGCTACTGTGGCCCCCTTTGTTTACAAAGAAACTGTTTGTTCTGCATGTCTGGTGTTGACTGTTTGTGTTGGCACTTGTGACGGCTGACTTTTGCATTCAGTGCGTGTGTATGCTATTGGATTTGCTGCGACTACAGTCTCTGTTAATTTGTCCACAAGAGACATTGATGGACATTCTTTGTGGCTTTCATTGGCACAGTATGGACATTCTTTGTGACTTTCATTGGCACAGTATGGACATTCTGTGTGGCTTTCATTGGCACATTATGGACATTCTGTGTGGCTTTCACTGGCACATTATGGACATTCTGTGTGGCTTTCATTGGCACAGTATGGACATTCTGTGTGACTTTCATTGGCACAGTATGGACATTCTGTGTGGCTTTTATTGGCACAGGTACAGAGCAGCTATAGGGTAGACATAGGCTATGAAGCTGGAGCTGCAATTACCTGTTTACTTGTCTATGTTGATGGCAGATTGGAGAGAAGTCATTATTTACCAAGGAATTAGAGAGTGCCTTGTTGAAGAAGCAGGTGGATTTTGTTGTGCATTCCCTCAAGGACCTGCCCACTGTGCTACCTGAGGGTTTAGTCATTGGATGCGTTTGCAAGTAAGTGAAATGTCATGTGTTGTCACCAGGGCATATTCCTCTCTAGAAAATAAGATGCCAGTACTCACCAGTGTTTAAAATAAGTTCTGATACTCACCAAAGTATCACTTTCAGTAAAAAATGGTGCTATTACTGTGGACCGTTGCATGCTGCCAGAAAAAAATCCCTGGTTGCCACTCTGCAAATTAATTTTTATTTACCTAATGAAATCTTTCTGGGCCATACAACTTGTATGTTATTTAAAGTTAATGACGAGAGGATCAGTTTCTTTGCACCGGGTTGTCCCATTTGACTTGGTCTCTCTGCAGAATGCCTCCAAAGAGAGTCACACAAAGTACTAACTCTGTAATTTTAGCAACTGTCCTTATGGGTCTCTATAATTTCCACTCATGAACAGAACGACGGGTCAATGACACGAAGCCACAACCTTCGGAGGGCAAGGCAAACGGAATGATTACTTTGTTACTAGGACTCCCACTTTATTGGTTGATTGGTTAGTCTAAAGACAGCACACTTGTCTGACATTTCTCAGTCTCAGGTAGTTGTTAATTAACTCTTTATATACAGATTGTAGTTTAACTATTTCTGTTTCTCTTGTGTTATAATTTGAAACGTTTTTGGACTCAGATATCCATACTTGGTGTCAAATATAGCTTGAATAGACAGTTCTGGAATGTTCCTCATCTTTGGCCTGGTGTGCCATTATGATGTGTCACATAGGGCTCACAGTTTGTTCTTCAGTGTTATGGATGAAATCCAGTCCAGCACCATTGTCCTCCTTCTTCATTGTTCGTTTTGGGATTTCTTTTGGATGTTCTCTCTTCCTCACTCCCTTTTTTTTTCTTCCTATTTTGTGATTCTCTGCTCATTTCTTCTCAGGATATGACCAAATTTAGCATCATCTTCTGTGCTTTAAAACTGTTTCTCAATCACCTTCATTCCCATTTTAGTGCCTGTTTGTTGATTTTCTGCTCACTTCTTCTCAGACATTTCTATTATTTCTTCACCTTTCTGGAATTTTCATTATAAGAATAATTTTGTATAAGTTTCATGCCTCAAAGTATACTGGGTATATATGGTACTAGGTAAATATTTGTTCAGACCAGTGGTCATCTGAGTGGCCAGTAACACACTGACTGCCCTTAGTTTCCAGACCGTTTCCCCAATGCCAGTCCTGAAATTAGCAGATCTCAATCTTGATGGCAAACCAGCAAGGCAGATCCCACATACCCCATTCAGCCTTCAAAGACATTATAATTAGGGCACCCATTACTGCTACACCAGCCAGGTTTAACCTGCAGTCCTGTGCAGGTAAGGATGACCAACCCTCCATACTTCCCAGCCACAACATGCAGTGAGGTTACAGTGTTCTGTTATGGACTCCCATAGCACACAGATGCGTTTAGCTAGTTAGGGTAATTAAGTAGGGAATATCTGTGGTCAAGACATAGGTAATCTCAGCAGTATTTCCTTTAGAACTTATAAGTAGAGCTATTGTTGTTGTTATTTTTTTTTCCAACAATCTGCAGAAGGGACAGCCCATATGATGCTGTGGTTATACATCCAAAGCACCAGAGGAAAATGTTAAAGGACCTACCTCCAGGAAGGCATGTCGATGTTCTGTTTATTCTGCTGTCTGTATTAAAACATCTACTCGTCTGTGGTCTGTTGTTCTGTATCGTGGTCTCTTGTTCTGTATCATGGTCTGTTGTTCTGTATCATGGTCTGTTGTTCTGTATCGTAGTCTGTTGTTCTGTATCATTATCTGTTGTTCTGGATACTAATTTGCTCTTTCTCATAACACCAAGAAACACACTGGGAGCCACTTGGAAAGAAAGAAAAAAAAACAGTGAAGAATGGAGGTGAGTGATATCTGCAGTAATGATCATAAAGAGCTCCAAATGGGGAAAAAGAAAAAGAAGAATATTGAGATCTACTGGTACCTCAAAACCAAAAGAAAATGACATGAAATGTATGGGATATGTCATTAGAAGAGGTTGCATTTGGACATTAGCCTTAACTGAGAAAGGGACAGACTTTCTTTCATACATTGTGTTGTTTGGCATATAGTGCTAGCTGTAGGATGCTGTTGTTACAGATTAATCTGTGTTCGATGGATATTTTGATTAACATCGGACTGACCATCTGATTTCTCAGAAACACTTCCATTCTCAACTTTAGCTTTGTTGATCTTCTTATCTGCTCAGCATTTAAAGAGTGATTAGCACATTGTGTTGTGGTTTATAGCCAGGCTGCAATATTTGCACCTTGTGACCCAACATATCTGATTTCAGCACACGCCTAGGTCTACCCCTTACGACATACTTGTTATGGGGGCATTTAATCCAGTTAATTGTAACTAAAACTGTAACTTGATGAAAAGGGGGAGTGGAACAACGTACACACAAGACAAATTGATGTTTCAGAACCTTTCTCTGCATGAACTAATTACAGTGACAAAAGAGAGTGTACTACTGGTGGTAGTGGGTCTACCCCCCCCCCCCCCCCCCCCCATTGGGTCCCTGAAATCCTACAGGGATAGGCTTTGTTGACCTCGTTGCCTGTGTCACTCTTAATTATCTGCCATGTTGAGGATTCAAACACATGACTCTATGACCAGCAGGCAAGCTTTACTGCACCAGCTCTCTATAGTATATATGGCATGTCGCTGTTATATTTTTTTTAAAGAACTCTTTTGTATATTCATGTCTTTGCAGTAATTATGATTTTCATTTTGTGTCCTTTTTTCTTGTTGGGGATGTTTTATGTTCAAAGCTTTCCATTTCATTTTGTGTAGATTATAGATGCAGTTTTTTTTTTTTTTTTTTTATAATTTGAAGCCCCACCCTGGTTTTTGCTGGGGGCCCTGAATATAGCCGGGCCATAAATATATGGCCCCACAGCTGAAAGGGGTTTCTGGGACCTCTCCTTGGGTGATCCTCATCGGCATGGTGGCACTTTGTGTCACTGGGTGTTTATCGCTTATATGATGTCCTGGTGGGATACAACAACCAACTGCCTTGTGTAGGTTACAGATTACAAACTTTGAGTAAATGGTACCTGAGCAGAATAGAAGATATTAAATGCAAAGACATAATCACTAATGCAAAGCTTAGGGAGTCAGATTTCCTGCACTCTGACATATTATCATGTGACCTACTATATGAAAATTTGCATCACGTCACAAGCTGTACGGCAGTGTTGATCACAATATTATTACAGTGCAGACCTGATAACAAGAACTCACCAGGGACACAAGAAATGGTTCTTCTTATCAGAAATTCCTCTTATCCTGATAAGAGCTCAAGCAAGAAACATTACAGAAGATAAATAAATTGTTCTTCACAACAGAAATGTGCCGCATCCTAGATTGCTTTAAGCAGTCTGCACGGTTTTATTACTAGATTGCTTTAAGCTGTCTGCACTGTTTTATTGCTAGATTGCTTTAAGCAGTCTGCACTGTTTTATTGCTAGATTGCTTTAAGCAGTCTGCACTGTTTTATTGCTAGATTGCTTTAAGCAGTCTGCACTGTTTTATTGCTAGATTGCTTTAAGCAGTCTGCACTGTTTTATTGCTAGATTGCTTTAAGCAGTCTGCACTGTTTTATTACAAAATTGCTTTAAGCTGTCTGCACTGTTTTATTGCTAGATTGCTTTAAGCAGTCTGCACTGTTTTATTACAAAATTGCTTTAAGCTGTCTGCACTGTTTTATTGCTAGATTGCTTTAAGCTGTCTGCACTGTTTTATTACAAAATTGCTTTAAGCTGTCTGCACTGTTTTATTGCTAGATTGCTTTAAGCAGTCTGCACTGTTTTATTGCTAGATTGCTTTAAGCAGTCTGCACTGTTTTATTACAAAATTGCTTTAAGCTGTCTGCACTGTTTTATTACAAAATTGCTTTAAGCTGTCTGCACTGTTTTATTGCTAGGTTGCTTTAAGCTGTCTGCACTGTTTTATTGCTAGGTTGCTTTAAGCTGTCTGCGCTGTTTTATTGCTAGGTTGCTTTAAGCTGTCTGCACTGTTTTATTACTAGATTGCTTTAAGCTGTCTGCACTGTTTTATTGCTAGGTTGCTTTAAGCAGTCTTCACTGTTATATTGCTAGATTGCTTTAAGCAGTCTGCACTGTTTTATTGCTAGATTGCTTTAAGCTGTCTGCACTGTTTTATTACTAGATTGCTTTAAGCTGTCTGCACTGTTTTATTGCTAGATTGCTTTAAGCAGTCTGCACTGTTTTATTGCTAGATTGCTTTAAGCAGTCTGCACTGTTTTATTGCTAGATTGCTTTAAGCAGTCTGCACTGTTTTATTACAAAATTGCTTTAAGCTGTCTGCACTGTTTTATTGCTAGATTGCTTTAAGCAGTCTGCACTGTTTTATTACAAAATTGCTTTAAGCTGTCTGCACTGTTTTATTGCTAGATTGCTTTAAGCTGTCTGCACTGTTTTATTACAAAATTGCTTTAAGCTGTCTGCACTGTTTTATTGCTAGATTGCTTTAAGCAGTCTGCACTGTTTTATTGCTAGATTGCTTTAAGCAGTCTGCACTGTTTTATTGCTAGATTGCTTTAAGCAGTCTGCACTGTTTTATTACAAAATTGCTTTAAGCTGTCTGCACTGTTTTATTGCTAGATTGCTTTAAGCAGTCTGCACTGTTTTATTACAAAATTGCTTTAAGCTGTCTGCACTGTTTTATTGCTAGGTTGCTTTAAGCAGTCTGCACTGTTTTATTACAAAATTGCTTTAAGCTGTCTGCACTGTCTTATTGCTAGATTGCTTTAAGCTGTCTGCACTGTTTTATTGCTAGGTTGCTTTAAGCAGTCTGCACTGTTTTATTACTAGATTGCTTTAAGCTGTCTGCACTGTTTTATTGCTAGATTGCTTTAAGCAGTCTGCACTGTTTTATTGCTAGGTTGCTTTAAGCAGTCTGCACTGTTTTATTACAAAATTGCTTTAAGCTGTCTGCGCTGTTTTATTGCTAGATTGCTTTAAGCTGTCTGCACTGTTTTATTGCTAGGTTGCTTTAAGCAGTCTGCACTGTTTTATTACTAGATTGCTTTAAGCTGTCTGCACTGTTTTATTATTTATGACATTTACAAAATGTCCTTTCTTTAGTGTTATAGGTACCAGTTCTGTCCGTCGAGCTGCTCAGATCAAACGAATGTACCCACAATACAAGATTGAGAATATTGTATCCTTTCTTTGTAAATTTTCTTGCGTTTTCTCATTCAAGAGATATTAGTTAAACTGTATTTATCTTCCAGCGTATTGTTATCAGTGTATCCTTTCAGTTTCAGGCTGTTATAAAAAAAATTTTTTTACTTCCCCCTGAGCCAGACACACACACACAAATAGGAGTCATGTTGAATTAATCATTTTATTTTACTTGCATCTTGAACTCATTGTTTTATATATGGACTGTGTCATAAAGTTCTTAACTTGGTCAACCCAATCGCACCAGGAGAAACAGCTAAATGGCTTTCACATGGTATGCTTAAGAAGAACACTTGGCAATAAGTGGCAAGATTAGATCACAAACACTGAGATATTTGAAAGATCAGGTATCACAACAGTTTTTTCAGTGCTCAGTCTCCATAGCCTCAGATGGCTAGGACACACTTGGAGAATGGAGGATGATAAGAGTTCCTAAGGACATCCTCTATGGTGAATTACAGATGTGTAGAAGATATTAAGGCCGACATCTACTACAATATAAATATGTGTGTAGGCTGGACGTGAATGATACAGGTATTGAGGCAAATTCATAGGAACAAAATGCCATCGGCCATGTTGAGTGGAGGGAGAAAATCAGGAAGGGAATAGGAATAAAGGAAACAACCAGCAGAAAGGTTGAGAGCTATGCGTCTGAGAAGAAGCATGCTAAATACATGTGATGGCAACAGTGGTCCTGAAACCCCATGCTCTAATTGTGCAAGACTTTTCTTTATGCTGACAGGTCTTGCTGGTCACACTTGCCAGCCCCATGGGCTGTGATTGTGGCCAAATCTGGTCCCTTGAGGCCCAGCAAGGGGCTTGCAGATCATTGCCAATTGTTATGTATTTATGAAACATCCACAAGATCCCATCAGCAGATTCAACAGAAAGCAACATACAATAATTATCCGTCTACGAACAGGACATTGCAGGCTCAACTACCACATGCATAAAATAAAGATTGTGCAGTCCCCACAGTGTGCCTGTCAGACAGGACCACAAACACCTGAGCACATTCTGCAGACCTACCCACTCTACCTACAACTTCGAAAAGACACCTGGCCTCAAGAGCAAAGTGTGCAGAGCAAGCTATGGGGAACCAGGAAGGACCTGCTACTGACATGTGAGTTCATAGAGGCCACACACATGATGGTCTGATCTGAGCATACGAAACTGAATGCAAAGATGAAGAAGTATTTTTGATGTTTCTACGCTGGGGCTCAGGCCTATGGCCCATGATGATCCCCATTTTCATTATTTTGGCTCCTGAGTAAACTTAGTTGAATAGCCCTGCTGTAGACAATAGCTGAGAGAGAGTAGCTTTTTAAGAATAGTAGTAAATAGGGTGAAGAAATTATGACATCTGACCAAGCATTGGGGCAGCTAGCTCACCTTTTACAGCGCAAGACAATCCCAGTCAGCGTCAGCACCGAGAAACATCACATAAAAAGCATATACATTGTCACTCTGTGCTACCAGTGCCAGACATGGTCACTCACAGCATACTGTAAAAGAAAATTAGTCATCTCAGAAATAAGATGCCTGAGAGGGATGCATGAGTGACCAGAAGAGATAAAATCAGAAATGACGTCATAAGGGAAAAAGTCAACACAGAACCGATTCTAAATTACATACAAAGAAATAAGATCAAGTGGTTTGCTCACTTAGAAAGAATGTCTTGTGATATAATACTATACAGGGCATATACCAAAAGAGGCAAAACATACAGCACACAAGGTAAATCAACAACAAGATTGACAAGGGGACAATGTGTCTTTGGTTGAGATGGCCAGAAGTGCAGGAAGCAGAACCTTACATTTCCCTTGACACACGAAGTGGTAAAAGAAGATGTGAAGAAGAAGTAAATAGGATCATAGCTGTTATTGTGTGTCCCAGGGGTAACTATTTTATAGGTTGAACTGGGGTTTGCCCTGTAGGTCTGCCATCCAAAAATTTTATAATTTGAGAGTGTCATACCTTCAGATCGCAGCCCAGAAAGGAAAAACAGAAGGAAATTGATCCTCTCATGCTTTTCAAATGTCATGCTTTCGTTTGACTCTTTAACTAAATATAGCGGGGAAATTTAAACACCAGACTGAAAAAACTCTCAGAGCAAGATGTCTATGATGCAATCATCCTTGCCGTGGCTGGGCTGGAACGGATGGGCTGGCATGATTTCATTTCAGAGGTAGGCTAGCAGGAAACTGTAAATCTAAACATGTAGACAACCTTAGCTGTAAACTCCAGTTGTGAGGGGATCTAGGAAGGGCTTGCCCTGAGTGTGTTAAATGTTTTTGTCAGTACATAGCAATAGCGTCTTTTTAGGCATCATTTTTGTTTTTCAGTGCTGCTGAAATAGTTGTAGTAAACACTGAGTGGCGAGTACCGGCACCTTTTTGTATTCCTAGGAAAAAAGCCTGTAAGGAAAGAATAGGAACACTATAACTTACCATGCATGTTGTAATTGGTGGCTCAGGCAGGGGCACCAGCAGTTTGGGATTGTGGGGGGGGGGGGGGGGGGGGGGCTCAAGGGGGGGGGGGGGGGGGGGGGGGGGGGGGGGGGGGCTTGTTTCTTCTTTTTCATCTGTTCACGTTCATCAGCAGAAAATTCTGGTTGTTCATCTGCTTCTGGACTTTAATGTTGTTCCAGAATTTGAGATGTGTGTGCACACATGTTTTTCAGATCTGTCTTATTTGTATGCAGACTGTTGGTTCCTCATCTCTCAGGCAGATGCACTCCAACTTTAAAGGAAACACCCCTAATAAGTCTACTTTTATGACATGCTAGGATTTTTGTGTGTCGGGGGGGGGGGGGGGGGGGGGGGTCATAAGTGCGATAGTCGTACATCAAGGAGAAGATGTAAATTTAAAGTTGACAGTTTTGTTGATTGCAGGTTTTAATCTCTGGGGAATGCATGTATGCTGTGTGCCAAGGAGCAATGGCTGTAGAGTGTTTGGCTAGTGATGAGGTCACCCTACAGCTGCTTCACAGAATCCATGATCATCACTCTACAGTGGCGTGTGTGGCAGAGAGGGCTTTCCTGAGGAAGTTGGTGAGTATGTAAAGCAGTATTGTTTCTCCCCATGTGCATTCAGTGGTCCATTTTAGAAAGGAAAAAATAGAAACGAATAGATCAACTGTCTCTTAGTGAGTAAGCAAAGCAGTATTATTTATTCCTCTGTTTTTGTTCATTGGCTACTAGCGCCGGACTGTTTTTTTAGCACTTTTAATGGCTGCCGATGCATTTAATGTTTATTTGTTATTGGCTTTAAGGACACTCCCAAAACAGCATGCAAGTTTCTATTTTAAAACAGAATACATCCATATGGGTTCTGGGGCCACATTGTAGGAAGAAGAAGAAAAAATAGACCTGCTGCTGCTCTGATTATCAATGAAAGTTGAGTAATTAGGAGTGCTTCCTTCTAAGCCAGATTGCATCTGCCTGAGAGATGAGGAACAAACAGTCTGCATACAAATAAGCCAGATTTGTAAAGGGATGGGCTCATAAAACTTGAGTTATGAAATAAGGCTAAAGTGGATGAACAGCTAGAAATTTTTATTGGAGTTTATATCTGGTGAAGAAGAAGAGGAAGAAACCAGAATCCCAGTTTGAAAAAAGCTACAAAAATGAAAAACATAATTTTTTTTTAAAAGGCCTTTAATTTAGATTATTGCCTGTGTAGATTCTAGTGTGTATAAAAATGTTTATATTTGATGATTGCAGGAAGGAGGATGTAGTGTTCCTGTGTCAGTTTTCACAGAAATCTCTGGAAGTCAGGTAATGATGAATGAGTCATCTGGGCATGTTGGTTGTTGCTGTCTTATGTATTTCTTGAGAAACAGATCTGACGCAGAATTTGTATCAGTGAATAAATAGTTCTGGTTTGCTGTCAGTTGGAAATGTGTATACAGTGGACAGCTATAATATTACAGAAGTATTAAGATTAAAAAAAAAAAAAGATGCTTGCCTTATAACCGAAAGGTCTTCGGTTTGGATCCACACTCAATCATGCGGTTCTTGCAAGGGTCTTATTTCTTGTAGAGCATTCAGTATATCTGTGTGGTCCATTGCTTCTTCTTCTTCTTCGCGTTCACCGGCTGTAAACTCACTCAGAAGGTTCTGGTTGTTCGTCCACCTCTGTACTTCAGTCTTGTTCCAGAACTTGAGTTTTATATGCACATCCATTGTACAAATCTGACTTGTTTGTGTGCAGACGGTTGGTTCCTCACCTCTTTTACTATCAGTCACCATCCCAATTTGGGACTAATTTTTCATTATTTCAAAGCTCCACTGCAGCTGGTTCCCGGGGGCCCTAATGTAACCCCTACAGGTTGAACAGGGTTTCTGAGACCTGTCCCCAAGTAATCCTCATCTGAATGGTGGCACTTTGTGTCATCAGGTGTTGATCGATCAGTGTGATGTCCTGGTGGGGTTGAACGTCAGTCAATCTATCCTCACCTCTTAGACAGATGTATTCCATCTTCAGATGGCACACTCTTAATTAGTCAACTACTACAACATGCTTATCATTGTGGCAGTAGATCTACTGTTCCCACCAAAATGGGTTCCTGGGAACTGGTACCAGAAGAGTTAAGAAAGTTGATAGCCACTTACATGGTTACATCTTACACTTATAGGAAAGTCCAGACGGACATGTATTCAAACTGCTGCTGGCACCATTGGAATTTGACGTCTTTACTGGCCGCTGAAGGTGAGGACAGAACACTTATGGGAATGTCCAGAGTGCTGTGTTATCAATTCTTAGCGCAAAACTCATCATTAACAAAATAATGACGTTTGTATCTGCAGCTTGCTATACGAGGTGGTGTCTTCAGCACTGATGGCAACCAAGCAATTCAGAGCAGCATAATTTCTGATTTAGAGCATGCAGATTCCTCGGTAAGATAACCCGGAGATTTCTTATTTGAGTGGAACAATTTTTTCCATCCTTCAATTCCAGTTCCAGGAGATAGCCTAAAACGGATATTGATGAGGAAAGCCAAAGGTGCTGGGCTGGATTTCATCCATGATATCCAAGGGATTGTGGAGGATAGAACAGAAGGGAGGAATCAGCTGTCAGCTCTATCTGATGAATTAGGGCACAACAGGGCAAAGAAGAGAATGGTGATGAATTCCACCTGGCCATCTCATATCAAGTATGAAAATCCGATGTTCTCATTATTCCTGTGTAGGTTCTGGTTTGCTTGAAAGAAGCTAATGAAAGTAGATATCTATATACAACAATAAGAAAGAGACAAACACTGTTCTTTGGCCACATAATGAGAAGAGACATTGGAGAACATCATGAAAACTGGAAAGATCACTGGAAAAAGGGGTAGAAGCAGACCAAGAGAGATGATGCTGGATGGGCTGAAACGATGACATGGAGGGATATCATCCAGAGAGCTGTTCCAGGCAACCGGGGATCGTGATCTGTTGAGACCCATGAGCGCCTACAACAGTTGGCAGGGCACATGATGATGATGATGAGGTTCTGGGGCTTGGTGCTCCATGTGGGTCAGGGAACCTATTATGATTCACTAACAAGCCTGTTGTAAGAAGTGACTAATTAGGTGTTTCCTTTGAAGTCAGTCTGACTGAGAGGCAAGGAACCAACAGTCTGCATATAAATAAGCCAGATCTGTAAAATGAATGTGCACTCAAAATTCAGGTTCTAGAACAAGATTGTGAAGTCCAGAAGTGGAGCAACAACCATGACTTTCTGCCTGAATTTACAACCAGTGAACATGAAGAAGAGAAAGAAATCATATCATGTACATAGCTTTACATGTTTTCCTATATTATTCTGGTCTCCCTCTGTCTGTTAAGTCATTGCAAGGGAGACACTGAGCTTGAGCAAAGGAGGCTTAATTCTGTCTATAAAGGATCATCTGTTGCATAAGAAAATACAAATCGGTGACCACATGTGGAATCAATAATTCAGTGTGACATTAGCAGAAAGGATCAGGGTAGAGCACAAAATAAAGGTACACTGCTGGTACGATTCTGGAATTATAAGTTACTATACCTTTTAACATCTTCTGATGACAATAAAGTACAAATAGATATGTCCAGAGAGATGTGATGCTGCTTTTGGATGACACATTTTATTCTATAATTTACTACCATAATCAAATCCTCAGGGTGAATGAAGGAGAGAAGTTTTATTATGTGAGTCCAAACCAACAAATCATGTGTAATAGGTTATTGTTTATTTCTTCTTTGAAAAATGTTTTGTTTTAAATGTTATTGTTCATTTGCATTACCAGGTGCCTTCAGACTCATCATTTGTGGGCATCCATTGCCAGATTGCCAACAAGAAGCATCACTATATTTCTGCATTGGCCGCAGGGGACAAACTAGCAAATGACCTTCTGCATCAGGGAGCAGATGCCATCCTTACAGCAGCCAAAGCCGCTGCCACCAAGGCTGTCATGGAGGAGTATGAGATGAAGGTTTCTGGTGGGAAAGAGCAGGAAAATGTTAGTGATGGGTCATCTGGGGAACCAACAGCCACAGTTCACTTTCACCAAAGTGATGGAGAAGATTAACAAATAAATTGAAATGTTTGAGATATGTGTTGTTTTCCTTTTTCTGCTTCTTCTTCTTGTGCTGGGAATCGTTGCTAGAGCTCAAGTGGTGGCTAACCACTGTGTAGAGACAGATCTAGTCATGTGGATTATTTTTCTTTTCTTCTTTCTCCTCCTCCTCTTCATCTTACTCTTCTGCTTCACCCTGTCGTTTTCTCCTCCCTCTTCTCAGTTTTCCTCTCCTTTTCTCATTTACTGCAGCTTCTTTTTTTCCCTCCACCTCTTTTTCTGCCCTTTATCCTGCAAGGAAGCATTGGTTCTCAACCAACTTATGCCGAGTTGTTCTGACTTCATCTCTTCTTTCTCTGCCCCTTATCCTACAGTGAAGCTTAAGAGTAGACAATATGCTGCTAACAGAAAGGCCATCTGGCCTGTTACAACCAGAGTCAAAACAAAGCTGTATGGCACACTGGGATATTTGGACTGCACGATAGCATTCATCAAGGCTTCTGGCCTTTTGATATAAGGTTTTCTGACAGAAGGATTGAAGAAGAAAAAGACTAACACAGACGATGACAGTCCAAAAATTACACACACAGGACTGCAGGTTACTCATTGTAACCTCTTTGGAGGTTGAACAGGGAATCCACGATCTGCCATTTTGGATGGTCATCCAGATTGAAATGTATTAGTCTCCGGATGGTAAACCTTTAGGTGATATCCCTGAGAGGACAAAGTGATCAATCAAAAAGACTGACTGGGAAGCTCAACAAGGGAAAAGAGAGAGACACACACACCCACCTACACACACACAATCAGCTTTTTTTTACCTAGGTTCCATACATATCATGGATATTCATAAGAAGGCATCCAAACCATCTCTTTCTGTTTCAATAATTCTAACCATACAGGTGAAACCAATATCTCTAGTACTGCCATAAAATCTTGTTCTGGTGATCAAATCATCCATTTTTCTTAGGAAAATTGCCTCAGTCATTAGTTAGGTGTTCTGAGGCTAGCAGGAATTAATGTTCAGCTTGTCTTTATCTAATTATTATTTTGTTCCCACTTTTTTATATAATTATCACTATTACATTATCATTTTCTCCTTTTTTATTTTATTTACATCTGATCGATTGTTCTTGTATGTGAATTATGCTGAAATATACTGCGTCTTTTTTATTATAACAGGCAGTGAGGCTAACTCCATTCAATATGTAACATTTTTGGTTTAAATAAAATTTACTAAATAATTTTAACACAAACACAGAGATTAAACAGAATACATTTTTTTAATCCTCCTCCTCTTCATTATTTGTCTGCCCATTTTTCGTGCAACTAAGCTTATGGTGCTAGACTATTGACCAATATATTTTTTTTTCAATGGATGATATTGTCAATGTCATGCCAAGTTCCTTTATTTCCCAGAACATTGGCTGGTACCCAGTTTAGGCTGGGAGCCAAGATCAGTGGCTCAAAAGCCGTCTAGCTGCAGATTTGAACCTAAAACCACCAGGCAAGACTTCTTCTTCTTCATCGATCCTTCTGCCAGAAAACTTATATCAGGAGGCCGGTAGCCTTTATGAAAGCTACCATACAGTCCATATCTGCTTGTGTACCGTACAGTTTTGTCTTCATTGTGGTTGAAACATGCCAGATTGCATCTCTGTTGACAGCATACAGCTGACAGTGTTGAAGCACTTGCTCAGCATTTTCGGGTGCCAGGTTGTAAGGGCACATCTCTGTGTTAAATAACACCAAGAAACATCATGAATAAATCAAGAAATTATATTGATGTACTCAGGCCATTTTCACATAAACACAGTTCTCTTCCCTAGTAGCGACTACTTGTACAGACCGCGACAGTCAAACCCTATTGTAAGGTTTGGCCATTCTCTCACTTGCATGTTGAGTGTCGTCCAAGCCCGCTGCTCACTCCCAGCTGAAACAATCTTTCCGAAACTGGATGTTCTGAACAACTAAGAAAACCACTACTTCAGCATTTCGAGACCTTGAAGTTCATTGCTGCAGATTTCACCTGTCTCTGTGACTGGCCTTATGTTTCCAGCTGGTGACTTCAAATGTTCGAAGGTCTGTCTGTAAATTATTTCTCCACTGTCTTCTTCATGATCTACTCTCATTCAGCTCTTCTGTGTACCATGAAAAGATACATATTCATGAATGCATGCACATGCGCACACACACACTGACGCACAGACAAACACATAGACACACATTCGTAGACACAGACATCCACGCGGGGTAATGAGCAAGTCGATAGACTGGCTTTTGTCGTGCCTCTGGACGGTGAGCTACTTTAGGATAAAGCAGGCGTGGTAAACGCTCTCTGTGATCAAATTGATAGTGCTGAAGAATAGACAGAGAATCAATACACTGAAATCCCCGTGTGGGTTCTGGGGCCCTATTGTGGGGAAAACAAGAATAGACTCACTGCCTCCCCAAAAGCATGTCGTAAGAGTCGACTAATTGGGGGGCTTCCTTTGAAGTCGGAGTGCATCTGCCGGAGAGGCAAGGAACCGACAGTCTGTATTCAAGAGAATGAGATCTGTAAAACTGATGCACACGCAACACTCGGGTTCTGGAGCAGGACTGCAGTTCAGTAGTGGACGAGCAACCAGAACCTTCCGCCAGAGTGTAAAGCTGGTGAACGCGAAGAAGAAGAAGAAGAAGAATACACTGAAAGTTGGGTAAGGGAGTACGGATGTTCTGGCGGAGCACGTATGTGAATGTCCCGAGTGCACTGATGTTGAGTCTTCGTTCATTCATTCAAGTGTCAGTGATTAAGTAAAACAACACAGAACTGGCGTCGTCAGCCTCGACACTGCGGGATTTAGTGAGGAGGGGATCCGAGCTCTTATGGACTGCATGATTTGATGTGCAATAATTATAATCTGTCAACTAACTAACTCTCTGTGTGAACGTTGGTAATATACCTAATAATCTTCTTCTTCTTCATTCGTTCGCTTAAAATAGATTATCTATATCTGCAGTATTATCTCTAGTATGAACTTCACCGTCCGAGGTAATTCAATCAGCAATTTGTAAAGTTTAACTTGCACCGATGGTTCTCGTGGCTCAAAGTATTGATTGGACAGTCTTGGAGGACGTGATCTGTTGTCTCAGCTGCTATTCCACATGTACACATGACTGATTCGCCAGTCTTGAATTGTGTGTACACGAGGCAGCGAAGTCGCTTCTGTCCTGTGTGACTTGTTCTGGTCTGTCCATTAAATGGTAATCGTCTTATGTCGGTGTTAGTGATTTTCTGATTGATTTGATTACACTCTTCCGAATACCGGCCCCATATTATTCAAAGACAAAAAATCCCATTCAGGGCCTCAAGAGGTCGTTGTTAGGGACTTGAGAGGTCATGTAGTTAAAAATATGGAACAGGAACACTACAAACTATGCTTTCTTTTATTATATAATTGCGTTTGAACGAAATTACAGAGTCTTCGCTAGTATAGTTGATAAGCAGACTGCTTGTTACGCTGGTGATCGGGGTTCGAACATTTTTCTTTTTTTTTCTTCAAAAGGGTGGTTTGCACGTTGTGTTGTGGTTAACAACTAGGCTGCGATATCTACGCCTTAACTCGGTCTTGTGGTTAACAGCTAGGTTGCGGCAAATTTTTTTTTAACTTTTAAAAGGGTGGTTTAGACGTTGTTTTGTAGTTACAACTAGGCTACGATATCTGCTTCGCTACAGCTAGAGATGATCTTAACGTTGCTACCCATCGACACAGCGCTCCGATGGATCGAAAATTATTCCTCCCCACGTCACTTCAGTCGATCGAAAACTATTGCTCACAACGCTTAACGCGCAGATGTGGAAACTGATGATGATGGCCTTAATTATTTCACGGCATTATTGGTACGTATTGTTCCATATTTTGTTGTTCCATATTTTGTATAACCTCTTTATAACCCCTTGACCTCTTTGGAACCTCTTGAACCCCTTGAGGCACAGCCGCAGCCTGCCGCAGCAGCCTAGCTTGCAGGTACTGCTCCCAAGCACATGAATTTAAGGAGTGTCCCCTGGCCAAGAGGGACACTGACTTCAAAAAACCTAACCCGATCAGACGATGCTCGAACTGCGGAGGAGCCCACAGTGCGAGGTACCTGGGATGTCCGTACCTCAAGCAGATAAAGAGGGAGATGCATAATGCCGGACCCAGACACCAGCAAAGGTACGAGGCACCCAGACCGGACACAAGAAGAAGCCTACCCAGTCGCCCAGTCCAAAACAGAGCATCAGAAAGGAAGGAGATCACCGCAAGAGACCCAGAATTGATGAGCGCGCTAACCGACCTGAAGGCTGAACTGCAGAAGGTGAAGGTTATCGCCGCCGCCGAGAGAGCAGAGACGCACGATTTGATCTCCCTGTTGCTAGGGGAGATTAAAACCTTGAGAGAGGAGAGAGAGCCACACAAAACAAGACTGAATACCGAATATGCTAACCAAGCGCAATCAACTAAAGAGAACATCAATGCTCTATTCGCCAGGCTTGAAAGCACCCAGATAGCAGACGATAAGCGCCGACAGGAAGAAGGGGAGGAGAGAAGAAAGGAGCTGGCCGAACTAACTAGTGCACGCGAAACCACATACCGAGAAGTCGCCACACTTGTGCAAGTGAGCGCAGAGGCCGAAGCAGCCACACAAGCCATAAAGTCAGAACGTGCCCTGCTAGAAAAAGAAAAAAACACCGCCAGGAATGCAATCAGCAGAGCTGACAAAAGCACCTGCACTGACAAACTCAGAACAACGAAAAACCAGGCACAGATGACCGAGGCACCAGAGCACAGAGACCAGGGCACAGAAATGGATAGCTCGGAACCAGACTATGAATCTGAGCAAGAAACCGACCAGATATATTCCGATGAAGACACAGAAACAGTAGATACGGAAACGTCCCCAGCCGCAGACGAGGCCACAGCCCGTCCTGAAACAAAAGAAATAGTAATCCCCGAGGACATAAGCCAAGACGGCCTAAGGGAAATTGT